TATTGTTGATTAAATAATTACAGCACAGTGTTATACTTCCTGCTGAGGCTCAGTAAGCTAAACTGTAACTCAGGTGAGATGTAAATTCCTAAACAACAAAAATGCTGACATGACTATATGCATATTAGTATTACTGGATGTTGTTACTGTTGACACAAAAAAAAATATACAATTGTCCTCCTAGAATGGTAGAACAAGTTATATGGCAGCCAACTAAAACAAAAAAAACAGTATTATTTACTTGGCCTGACTATAATAGCCAGTAAAGCTACCCTCACCATGCTGTTGCAGCCTGTGCAGGGGAAAAATAATATTGTGAAATAGATCACATTGTTCCAAAAGCTTAACTAGGAGATAAGCTTCTTCCCAATGTTTGTGTTTCTCAAGTGAGAGTAGTCATCCGATTACTTCAGATTTCTAATCCTAATAGATTTTCTATTGTCACTAACACATGTATATGTGTATTTGAAAGAAGAGACGTAACAGGCAAAGATGTTAGAAAGTATGTTAATTTGACAGTGTTTGCACAGCTCAAACATGTTTTCTGTAAAAAGAGTTGTATTCAAACACAGAAAGGTATGCTGGGATACTCTGAACACTGATTCACATTAGATAATAATTCATACTGTTATTAAAGCTTTTTCCTCAACCCCAGTCTTGTTAACGTTTGGAAGTTATAAGACATAAAAAGCTTACTGCCTCCTTCACCTGAGCAGGCTGGGGTGAGTGAAAGAAGAGAATTAAAACCGCAAACTTTCACAGTTCAGACAGAACAGTCTGCATTAGCAGTGCCTCCCTCTACCAAAGTGAACAGCCATGCTGTTCTTACAGCTGTAGCAATGAGTGTGAGCAACGTACCAACAGCTTGTAAGCTTGCAGGTACAAAACTACTGTATGGTACGCTGCTTTTCCATGCTATCTATGTTCCTGTTATTCACCAGTTGTGACCAGTGCTGTCATACCCAGTGATACACCTGTGGCGCAAAGCATTTAGCTTCTCAGTATGTCAAAAGGCATGTCACATCTGAAGGAAATTAGGGAGCTATCTCTGGTTCACATCCCACCTTTCAAAACAAAACCAGAGGCTACGATGACAGGAAAGGAACACACGCTCTGCAAACACTGCAGACAAAATTGAATGTATATACAAACCCTGCAGTTAGCGTGCAACACAGTGAAGTTTAGTGCACCCTGAGCATAACCCAACCGTGCAGATGTAGGCAATCATGCTGATTAATCTGGCAAATCATCCCACAAATGAAGTAAATTAAACATTGGAAGGATGCTGTCAAGTCCAGCTTACCAATGCTGGTAGAAATTATTGTAAGTGCCAAAGAAACTTATTCTTCACTATGCCAGTGAGCATTCTCAATTGCTTCTAGTTCTGTTAAATACCACAGCAAGCAACAACAACATGATTAAACTTGTACTGCCCTATAGCACATTTGCCTAGTACTATGTCATTTTGACACAGCTACTTCATTCATTCTCTGAATCAGAATAAAAGAAATCAGATGGCTTGAATCCAGAACAATTGTGAAAATCAGTTCACTCCCTTGAACAGCACAAGCCTCGCATGGGAGGGAGCAAGCTGTATGCCCAATGACTTTACTCGGCAGGATCTGAATGGGAAAGGGTAATTGGGCTAGAGAAACTCTCCCACACCTGGAGATTGCTCACTGTTTACCAACATGGTCAGTTACTAAAAATATGTCTACACTGCCCCCTAATTCATGAGGTACCAGAGAAGGCACGGATCTCTGCACAGGACAATTTACATTACCTCTCATTAGCAACATCTAGTTGTTTGACTAATTCCCTGTCTTTGTAAAGGATACTGCCTATCAGTTATTTTACCAAACACACACTGTACTAGTGAAACCGGCACTAGTAAAACCTGCAGCTGTATGTGACCCAGAAGTCCCTGGCAGAGCAAGCAATGTCAGAGCTGCAAGGAAGTGACTTTAGCAAGAGCTGAGACTACTTGGCAGAGAGCTGCCTGCATGCAAGATCTGCCTAAGGCACAGATGCATGCTTCTGTAAACACATCCCAAGTTCTCTCTCTGTTCTTGTGCCAGATGCAGATTGCTGAGAATTGCCATCTACGTGTGTCACTCAAGAGCGGCATTGTCCTTTGCAAAGTAAACTAATCGCATGCCTCTTGTGCAACGACAAGCAGAGCATTTCTGATATCCAAGCCAGATCAAGAATCTGTGCACTACATAGAAGTTTGCAATACAGGTATGGCATGTCATTATCTTGAAATGGAAAGCTTCTGTTTAGAAATAAGGTCCTCCATATCCTCTGGAAAAGCTTCTAAGAGAGACAGTGGATTGTAGGGGACTGTGGCAGGAACAGCCGAGTGGGTAGATGGTCAGATGATGGTATGCCACTCAGTTAAAAATCATACATAGCTTTAAAGGAAAACCTTTTGTTCTGCTGCAACAGAGCAAGTATTTTCCACAAGGATGGGCACAAGGGAAAAAACCTTTAATGTGAAACCTACTCTAGAGTAATGCATTTTCTCACGTCTTGACTTCTCACACCTGTTTTGGCCTCCACTACACCTCGTGACTGCCACCCTCCACGTTCAAAGCCAGTGCTTTGCAGCAAGTGAACTGCCTATGCTGCCAGCCCTCACTGCAGCAGCACACTGTGTGATGATGCTCAGCAAAACTGCATGACAGTAGATGTGAGCAGTGGTTTGGTGAGGGTGCAGCAGGACAGGCAGGTACAGGTCACTGTCCTGTGCTCCTCCCTGCTTTGCAATGCTGCTGGTAACTCCTGACAGGGCAGGCACAGAGGGTGACCCACAGCTGTGCAGCCACCTGAGCCAGTACAGTAAACAGAGTAGGTTGTGGACACCTGTGTCAGCCACCCATTGAGCCAGGTACAGGCTCCATGGCACTAAGAGCAGGCATACAAGTTCAGAGGGCACCTGGGGGCCATGCACAGCAGTTCTATCTGGTTTACCATATAGTATGGGTAGTAATAGCTGTGTGAAAGGAGGGCAGTTCTAAGTTCAGTATTAACAGTTCTAAGTAAATGTTGCCTTTTGTTTTAAAAGAAATGGGCAGTTTTGCACATAGATGATCATAAGGTTCTTTCCTATTACATTTTCCTAACCTTTTTGATTCTGTATTAAAACACCAAGAATGTACCTGTCTTGCTCCCCCACAAGCAGAATCTTCTCTTCCATATACATAAATGACAAAATTACCCCCGATTTCCTTAAAAGTCCTAAAGTGCTACAGGTATTTACACACCAACAAAGGCTTCTCTACATTAACAAGCAATTTCCGCAATGTAGGGAGCTGCACAGAGGTGGCTGGCAGAGAACAAAGAACAGAGATGCAGAGTAAGAACTAATGCATGAGAATTTTACCACATACAGAAAAAATTACAAATGTTTTCAGCAAATGCCGGAGTGAAAGATTTCCCAGTAAGTATGCCATTTAACAGCAAATTATTTTCTCCTGGAAACAGGAATAAATGCTTCGAGGTGACTGTTTTAACACTGCATGAAAAGCTAACTTGCAAATATCCACATTTGCTAACACCTAAATTAGATGTTATAAGTGTCAATGCAATTCAGCCTTTTCACTTGAATACACAGGGAAAGTCAAAAAACTGTGAACTTCTGGGTTTAAAGTGAGTACCTTGAACACCTAGCCCAGCTAAAGAACCATACAGATGTAATTTTAAAAACTTATGAATTTGTTTACTTTCCTGTACAGTCAACAATTAGAAACTAATTTTTCCGTAACAAGGACAAGACATACCTTCCTGGACAGGACATTAACCCAAGGCTGAGGTCTACCAAATGGGTATCCTTATGAGGTATTTTAAGTAATGCTTCCTTTAACAATACTTTGTCACAGCAATTCTTTCAAACCTGTATTTTCTTGCTCGTCGGACCACAGACAAAGTGTTAAAAGTCTTTGCGAGGTTTCATAACTGGCCTTTCAGAGTCCACCCCACAGCTGCTCATCCTGTCTTGACACTAGTGCGGCGCGAGACCCAGGGCATGGAGTACTGAACCAGCGACGCCCCTTACCAGAGCGGGCTCCTTCCAAACAAGTCCACGCAGGAGCCTAAGGTAACCGCACCGCTACCAACGTGAGTTCAAGACAACAAACGTTGGGGACATGCATCTTTGATGGTGATTATGGTTACCCACAGCCCTACGTAAGAAGCCACCAAGTCACCAAGGAAGCCCTCCCGCCGCCTCGCCTGCCCCTTACCTGCCGCCGCCTCCGGCCCGGAAGGGCAGCGGGCTCCGAGCTCTCCCCACAGTGCCGCTGCCCGCTCCCGCCAGCGGGCGGCAGGAGGGCGGTGCTCCCCGGCCGCAGTCAGGGTAACGGGGCAGCGGAGGGCTGTGCCGGTGCGGCTGTGCACAGAGCGCCACGCCGCGCTCCTCCTCCCGCGCCGGGAGCTGAGGCGCGTTTGCCGGCGGCGCCTCCCGCCTAACGCCGGGCTCGAGCTGCGAGCGCACGTGGCGCCGCTCGTGCCGCAGGCACCCACGAGGCGCTGTGAGGCGGCGGCGCGCGGCCGTTAACGCTGCCGGCGGGTCAGCGGCGCGGTGCGGTTACTAAGCCTGTCCTGCACCGTTACCAGACCCCCAACCGGATTTTGTTCGTGCCTGAAGTTTTTTACCACAGGTTGATCGCTGCGCATGCATCGGTGTTCTTTTCCTTCTAATGCGGCTCTGGTACAACTCGGAAATACACCTGAGGTCCTGCTACACCATGGGAGGCATTGAGCAAGCTCGTTTCACCTCCGTGATTGAGGGGCACCAGATCTGCTGCTGCCCCGGGTGAAGGTTCAGACGCAGCGGTGCCTGCAAGAGCCCAAGGCCAGAGGTAATTACTACGTAAAGGCGCATTTAGTAACACAAAGGCAGTGTTGCTGGTTTGCAGCAGGAGCAGCACTACCCGGAGCAGGACTGTAGGTGCAGCCCGTCATTGACCCACAGACCATACACACCGGTTCTGAGGAGCTGGGAGGAAAGTGTAGCATTACATTTATTGGAAGTATTGATTCACACATTATTAGGAACACAGTACCACTTTAGGAAAGGTTATCAGAAATATGAATAGAGTAAGTAATGTCAGATGCAAACCAACCATCTGGTCCAATTTTGTACACACTAAATGTATTTTTTCTTTTCTAGAATTGTCCATACACATAGGTACGGGTAGTAGCCCTCTTTCTGCTGGCAGAGTATTCTATGCAAATCGACTGTCCCTGCACTGGCTTCTGAGAATAGAGATCATAATGTAATTTATGGGATGGGGGAGAGGGAAGCATGTGAACCTACTCTCCTAAGGCTCTGTTTGAGTCTGACAAGCTAAGCTGGAAGCTGGGTTTATGCTTGTGGCCAAAAGCAGAATGCAGTGAGTGTCTCTCCCAAGAAGCGAGAATTTACAGTTTTTATTAGGTCTTACAGATAACCATGGTATGCTTTATCAGTCATTGCTGTATGAACCAAAAAAAGATATTCAATTATTGTGAATGTACTACACTACTAAACCAGTATTACCACAAAAATGAAGACTTTACCAGACCATAAGACTGCTTGTATCCGGCTAATCTCAAGGTTTTTTTTTAATTGTTTACAAATAGTTTCATTATCATATATCCTGCAGTTCTAGAGCTGAGGCACTGCAGCACAGACATCAAAAATCTCACCCAAATTCCCAGTTTTATATATGCAATGACTAAAGTTTAAAAAATAATCTTTTCCAGACAACTTCAGTCTCACATCTCAAGTCTCTTAAATTTGTCTTAAATCTCTGGATATCAAAAACCTCTAACATACTTGCTCCTGAGGATACCTGAAAGATATTGATAATTTATAAACATGTTTCAGGGTTACATGATTGGTAAGTAAACAAGTCTTTGGTAAATAATAACTACTCTGTCCTTTACTCAGTTAAAAAAACTTAATCCATTTTTAAATCTAGTTTAACCGATTATTGTTTTTTAATAATTATTTCTATAGTGAATAAGGCTCATGGCATAATGTTGAGTGGGATGAATTGCTGTATGTAGCAAAACCTGAATGATGTTTTCAGTTCCAAATCTTGTTAGAGCAAATACTAGTTTCCTGCTCTGGCTCGTTGTCTTTTTGTGCCTTTCAGCCAGGCCCAGGACGCTGAATCTGAATGACAGCTTTCTAATGAATTAGATTTCTGGCATGTAAAGGTGTCAGAAATCTAGAAAATACTGTCTATTGCAAGGATACATTCTACGGTATGTACTGAATTGTATGCTAAAAACTACAACAAACCAATAAGTTTAAGGTTGAAATAACACATTATAGCTGCAGTATTTCCTAAAAGTGTCTGCTTTACCATTTGTGCAGTAAAACAGAAAAACTATGCACTATGCATGCTTGTGCAAGTTGAACATGACTTCTTGCTCCCAAAGGAAACTTAAAGGCACAGGACATAGGTAATGTGAATGAAAACCTGGTAACAAACACTGGCTTCCATTCTATTACAAGAATCCAATTAGAAACTGAATGCCTGAACTGGTATTTTTTTCTGTTTGTGTACTAGATGTCTTCACTTTGGCTAAAAGATACTATACCACGTCCCTTACAAAAAATAGCAGCATTAAATAGATTTTGTATTTTCATAGGAGAAATAAAAAGATGTCTGCTTTAAGTTTGGTTTACAGAGTTTTGGGGATTATTTTAAACATGTCCAAGAAATTAGCATATTATTTTCACTGATTGTTACAGTTTTACTGTTCTACTACATTTTTTTTAATCATTTGCCTTGTTAAAGGATCAGGTACATTTGAGACAATAAATATTATGCTTTACAATAAATAATATTCAGGTCAATGTATTGTACTTACAAAATAACACTATAATATTCAACTCTATTTTATATATTCTGCAGCAAAAATAACATTTCTAGTAGGAAGGAATTACTTATAAACTTAGCAAGATCTACACATTCACATGTGTGTGTAAAGAGCTTAACAAGGTTTATTATCTTTCCAAGAAAGCTATGCTTTTACAGTAGGTTTCAGCTAAATGTTGTCATAATATGGTAGTAAGCATGTAACAGTGCTTATGTTTAGCTCCATCACAAATTTGAATTTGAAAGGAAAAAGAAAATAAGAAAAAAGAGTGCCATTATTTACAAAGAACAGAAACTTTCCTTTTGCTTCACAAGTGACTGTATCTGTGTGTGAACAAAATGTTAGGGCGAGACATTCCAGATGAACTGCAGCTAATGTTGGACGAGGATGATTTCATGATGAACAGTGAAGGTCCTGGTAATAAACACCTAGAAAGGATAGGAAAAACATAGCAGAGTTTACTGGCAAAGTGACATTCAAGAGCAAAAGAATTAGTTTTTCATGTATCATACCTTGTAATAATCATATGCAAGAAACTGTGTACAATAAATATTATTTATAAAATATACAGGGCACTAAGCAGTAGCTAACTTGGGAAACAGACCTAAATTCAAAGAAACTCTTAGAGAAATTTCAAGATGTTCTATGAGGATCAAAATCTTTCCAGTGCCTCCTGTTTAAAGCAAGTGGATAAACAAATGGTATTTTGTGTAACACTACTTCCAAAAATTAATACTTCAGCAATTGCTGTCTGTTATTACAGTACTATTTATTTACTTTAAACTGGGTAAAAATTGCAGTTGATGTTAACCAGCTTATAAAAAAGTTCAGTTGTAAAAAAAAAAGCTGATTAGGGAAAAAAACAAATTTTCAGCTTTGTCTCCCAGCTCTAATTACCTAAAAGTAGACACACTATCATCACTGCTTTAACACAAGGAACAGTGATGCTGCAATGTAGTAAGTCACATCAGTGACTGCTTACCTTTTAAATTCAGGCAACTGCATCACCTCTCTTATTTTTTTTTTATTAATTACAAAGAGTAATTTATCATATGCCTATTATTCATTCTTAAATCTAGCATTTCCTAATGACAGGAGTAATAGTTAATGTAGAAGTCATTAAATGAGCACAGTAAGTGTGCAAAAATAACATCCACATTAAATCACCATTTTGTAATGAAATACGTCAATGTTAGGATGGATTAACACAACACATTGTATAAATTATTGCTTAATTTTTTTGTGTGTCATTCTAGTGTGGCTGGTTTTATTATCTTTTTCCTTCTCTCTGTACAAATAAATTTTCCCAGCTAAAGAGGTATCTACTTGCATATATCTACTTGATACTTACAAGCTATCGTTGAAAGCTTAAGTTTCAAACGTTTGTTTTATGAACAGAAACAAAAAAAAATTGTTTGTGCTCAGAAAAAAATAAAGTTCTTCAAATTAGATTTATAAAGTCTTGAAAAAAGACTTCTTGTACATTAATTCAGATCTTTTCTTGCACTTCATACAATTTTACAGAGAGTCAAGAAAACTATTATTAGTAGTGCAGATTCTTACATCATTTAAAAACAGAAAACTAGATGAGAAGTGAAATTGTATTGTGGCTCTTCCATTTCTAGAAAAATAGTTCATTACCTTACAGTTGTGGGGCATAATGAGGAAGAGCATTTATTTCCATATTTGTCTTTCTTTTTACAAATTCAGAATATCATAGTTAACCAGTATATTGCTATATCCAGACTATATATGTAACATTTGTGGAGATATTTTAATCAGTCAGAATTATCATGATACTCTGTTGCTGAAGACATACACTAGGAGAGGGATTAGATTCCTCTAGCCTGTGAAATCTATGAATAAGCTTCCAATCAGCATCCAAAGAAACACAGAAACTGCAGATGAGAAAGTTCTGTTGGACCGTCCCATTCACCACTTCCCAAATGCAAGCCTGTTAGCTGCAGTACATTAGAGTAATCCGATCTGTTTGGATAGTTTGTGGTTGGTCATGATGAAAAATTTTCTGCAGTATTAGCAGTAAAAGCAATAAAAACTTCAACGTTGAAGATTTTCTAGTCTTATCCAAATTACTTTACCACACTCTTGCTATAGCTCAGTAGATGTTAATATTGAATATGATTTGTTTTGTGGCTAGCATACTTCTATTTTTGCTGAGACCAAACAAATTCAGTTTCTGGTTGGTTTTAAATTTTGTAAGAGTGCCTTGAGATCCATATGACAATAACAAATGTGTTCAGTGTATCAAATAACTAGTCTGAGATATAGCAAGTAAGCAATTAAATCACAAAATAAGTTTAACAGATAATATATCAAAGGTTTGCTTTTCATGTACTATTAAACTCCTAAAGCTTTTTCTATGAAATAATGTCTGTAAGATGTTTTATATAAACAAAGCATTTGTAAGTTTATATACATAATAATTCAAATTGCCTTGATGGACAGAATTTGGAACCTACGTAATTTGAAGCTTACATTTAATTCTCCAGCTATGACTCTTAAATTGAAAACCGTTGACTCCCACAGTTGGAGCATTTTCAGTTTTATCTGTTGTACCTGGTTGGAGAACTAAACCATCCAATGGAGAATCAGGTAAGTGCCAAATAATTTTTTACTATATGATGCTGTTTTGCAAGGTTTGAAAATATATTTATGCTCTGTAAGATGAAATAATAAAACTTTCAATCTGTAGGTTTTGGAAATCAACTTTGCAAAACTGTGCAATACAGTAAATCAGATGGCACTTACCTGACCCTTGGCTGGAGCTGCACCCCTATAGCATCCCACTGCGAATATGAAGTCAGAAGTATCACACCTGTTAGGATACCTCTATGCAAATGCAAATCTGGAATCAGTGACATTGAGGGATCTGAGAAGGGGAAGAAAGGAAATTTTCAGTTCACTGTATGGAAAGCCTTTGCTGCAGCTGTGTAGGCAGCAGGCGAGACTTTAATACGTGTAGTTTTATACAAAAGCGTATATTAAGTCTTCTTCTAGTAGCACTTCAAGAGCGGGCTAGAGAGATTAGAATGATAGATGCTCAGGATCAAGGGAAATATTGGGGAGGTTGCCTTTTTTTTTAATACATAGTGAACTAGGCTTAAAGAGAAGAGTAGCGGTAGCAACACAGACTAAAACCTGTTCCGATATTATCCTTTATAATTTAGTAAGAGAATATTAAAATTTATACCTTCTATCATCCCAGTGGAGGCAATTTCCATTTGGAGATCCTCTTGAGTCTGATGAATATTTGTAAACCACCAGCAGGCAGTGTTTACAAAGCTGTACTATTCGTTGGCAACACTGGAGTTGCACAGGAGTCACCACCTCTGTGCTTTTACTCAATATGGTTTCCCAAGAGTTCCTGTTAAGGAAAAAGACAAGAGTTCATGTTTTCTGTAACAAATTGCAGCCTGGGAGCTTTACTGCTTTGTATCAGATTTAACAAGAGAAAAAGCATGACCTTGTCTGTTTACAGGAAAGGTCTATACTATTTAACACAAATGCTGGCAGATGCAGAGTCCAAAACACAAATTAAGAAGTTAATCTTTCTATGTGAAATGCTCACAGCCATTTCTCACATGGTTTGTTCCCTAAAGCATTTATAGGGCCATTACATAGGTTTAGCACATAACGATTTATTGTCACATAATCATGTATGTATCTTACAACAGAAATAACAAAAGCCACTTACTATTTTTAACAGGCTACCACCTGAATGCAAATGTGATGTCATATTAAAGGAATTATAACAGTAATAAATTATTTCTAAATATCTATACAGCATAATAGTAGTAATTTACAGGTGATTAGTATGTGCTCTGCTTCCTTATCAAATAAACATATGTGGAGAGTTTCTTAGTTTAGTGATTCAAATACTACTTCTTCCATCTGGTCATACGGGGTTCTTCTTCTAAAATTAAGTAGAACTTGAAGAGTGTATCTAAAGCAGCATTACTTTTTGACATACAGACCATCACCCTTTTTGTTTTCTTAAAAAGCCACATCTTTTCCCCCAAATCCCAAAACCCGACCATATCAACATAAACCAGGTATGTTTTACCACAGAAGATTACAATAGCTTTTTGCATACACCTCAACACCCCGCTGTGCCAAATTCCAACCAGATTACAGATCATTACATCCATTTCAGGGGCAGCACAGTCCCTGTGAAGTCATTTTTTGGTCAAAACATTATCCAGTAGCACAGATGGTTTGTAAGCTTGAGGGGGGGGTTGTTTATTAAAGAATCATTTCACAGACTGAGGAAAATTTGCTGCATCTGGCTTCAACATAGCATCCAGGATGATTTAGCCTTGTCCACTGAGATCAGCAGTAGATTTCACAAACCTGGTATAGGAAGTTTGTCCTTAAAACAAAATCAAAGAACCAGCAAGCTTACTTCTGCCTACTGAGATTTTTAATATCATGCTGTATTAGGACTGAATTATAAACATCAGTGACTAAAAGATAAGGTGTATGTACAGCTGACTTTTCAGCCTGGCTCCTCAGTCTAAATGGTATTTTCTAGCTGAAATTCTAATGAATTAAGAAATGTTGTTTATAAGACACCAAAACTGTTTCAATATCAAAAGCAGAATAATTCTACTAGTTGAAGAGCTAGTATTTTCTTCAACATACTTTTCTCAATATTGTTTCCTGTCTGGGAGCTTTCCACTTGTATTTTTACATGAAAATTAATCTATTGTCTTCATTCTTTCCTTACAAAATCATGTGATGGTTTGTAGAAAGCAGCAAGATGAAGTTCTGAGTATTACAGTCATTCATAGTGCTACACATAATTATATTCTAATTCAATCCATAAATCTCAAAAATCCCAGGAAGAAACTCTCCTGATAAATTCTTTCGGTTCTGGGCTGTGAGGTCTGTGATCACTTTCCCACTGCTAGGAGGGATTTTATCAGTGAAGAATAATGTGGCGTGCTCTAACTATAGTCAATTATGAACATAGTGGTATAGAGTTAGCCTAACAACAAAAATGGATATTTAGAACTATATATGTGAATTTAATGAACTTTCATATAAATGTGCCTGTGCAATCTCCTCCATGTGCTACACAGATTCAGCTCATACTCCATTATACTGCAGTCAACAGGGATCAGAGTACTATTACCTAAGGAAACTTAATTTGTTATGCTCTAAGTTTAGTTTCCCATACATTAGTAAGAAATCATGGACTCCTTCCCAGATCCATAAAAGAGTATTATACTTCATTGTGCAATATTGTCAATAATGTGTTACTCTTTTTATAGCCATCTGAACTCAACTGGTTCTACCAGTTTTCACTTACTAATTTTGTTTATCATACACTAAATCAGATGTAGCTCTCTGAGGTTTTGTTTCTTTATTCATTCTTCTTTCTAAAATAGCATATGCCTAGAAGAGATCTAACCAGCAAGTGGAAACCTTAAGGCTATCAGCTCTGCTTTTCTCCCAAAACATAAATCTTACGAATAGTCAAAGTACTATACTTATCAATAAATTTTCATATACTTGTGTTGTTTCTGAATTATCACATTAATACCCCTACCCTACATGTTTTCCCAAATGCTACACATGTCCTGTGTTTATTCCAATCTGTTCTTTAAAATTGTGCAAGGAACTCTAGGGAAGAGTAATGAGAAGTTGCCCTTTCTGCTACAGAGGTCCTGTCCTAAATTCTTTGTTGTGGATTACACAGGAAGAAGGATGCTTGTAGCAGAGTAAATTACATACTGGGAAAGTACAAACAGCCTTTCTGTTTTCCTCTGTCAGTTCTGTAATAAGTGTATTACATGCAGAGTGATCTCTACACATATTGGACATTTGCATATTACATTTATAGTATTTTTAGAAACTTTCACATAGCAAAGAATGCAAAGCTGACTCCACTTTGGACTCAGCTGTCTTGTTCTGCATGAATGAAATAATGCTAGATGAGATATCCTACTCTTAATTGAACTCTTATGCTGGCTCAAAGACTCTTCTCCCAAGCCAAGTGAGCAGCAGAGTTGTTCAAAGGGAAATCATTTTCTGTAGAGAAAAAAAAATCTAAAAGTTTTCATGCATATTAGAAGATTTGCACACTAAAATTCAAAATAATAACTGCATTATTAAAAGGAAAGGTAATTATAATATTTTATTGCAACAAAAATGGAGCTTGGACCCAAGACTTCACACATCTCTGCTGGCATGAAGAAGGAATCCTGCAGCTACTGAGGATTATACCAAAAACCAGTTTTGGTTTGGAAACACAGAAACCTTTTCTCAGCCTACTTTAACTTTTAGAGTGTGCTGCATTGCTACCAGTACCTACCTGTAGCAAACCTTAAGGCTGACATTATCTACATATTCCCGTGGCCCATTTTGGTGAAAAAAAAAAAAAAAAAGTGTAAAGACTCCTAATGGCTTGTACAACAGCAAGCCTTCAGCAAGCAGAAGATAATGGTAAAAAAAGTGCCAAAACCTCATGACCTTTTGCATACCCTTAGATCCTTCTTCTTCTTGTTACCCATTTTGTCGGGAAACAACTAACAAGTGCATTATGTGCATTCTGTACATAGGACAAATGGTTATGTGTGAAGAACATACTGAATGATTCCTTTGTACATACAATATCCACCAGCATACTCGTTTGTTATGCAAGCTAATCAAACCCCCTCCCATTCTTTATACATTCAATATGCTTAAATAAAAATGTCTTTTTATAGTCAATATATTTAATATTTAAACATTTGTATTCTTGTTTTATGAATAAATCAGGGCAGGGAGATTCTTTTATACCTATGATCTGGTCCTCCAAACCTATCCTTACATGAATGCCTTTCATTTCAGGAATGTACATTTTAAAGTGTAGAATGCTGAACTTTCAATATACAGCCTGACCTTTTCTTCCCCATAAAAAACTTGTATTTGCTACCCAAATCAAAACCTCCTGCTTACCTCGGTGTGGACATTTCCTATTCTCTGTATACTTAAATTCCCACCAGTTTGGAAAACAGTCAATAAAATCAAGCACGGCAATTCAAACTCATCCTTGGCAAATCAGAGAACTGACACTGCATTTAGCATGAGATGTCAGCTTCACTTGTGACTGAATTCTTCCTTTGTAAAGCTCAGATAAATATCACAGTAATTTATGATGATGGTAAGTCCACATTTGACATTTAGAGTGGACTGGCATCAAAATTGTGCACCATCCTATGAAAGAGTTGACCTAAAGCTCAGACATTTTGAAAATGAGATTTTTTTTTTTTTTTTGCTTAGATTATTATATTTGCAAATACATTACTAAATGTTTGATTCTATTACTGAAATGCTGGCCTAGATTAACAGATTTCTAATTCTACTATATCTCTAGATGGTTTTAAAACTAGTTCAGTATATTACTGCATTCTCTTGAATGAAAATGAGCAAAAAAGTATACAGCATTGATGGTAATTGTGAAGTTATGAAGAAGACTAAGATAAGAAAAATGGGCTTACCCTGAATTACAGAAACAGTTCCACAGACCTTGACCGTGGCTCCAAAGTAAGCGATTAAATACGCGGTTAAAGAGACGGTAAAGATGTAAATTTTCAATGTCTGGAGCCTTCCAGACATGCTGTAGAACTGCACGAACGCTTGTCTTGACTATATCCAAAATCTAGGAAAGAGTATTCCAACCAAATCAAAGCGAAGGCATATGGCAAAACCTAAACCAAACTGGTTTCTGACTCACTGCACACATACACACAAACACACACGCACAGATGACTGTATAGCTATAAATTCCCACAGATGTCTGTTTCATTTCTGTGCATTCATCAGCAAACTTTTATGATATGCTTTTCTGTCAACAACATTTCGCAAAGCCAAGTAAAAATATTTTATTTTTCTTACAGTAAAGTTCATTTCAATTTTTTTGAGTCACTTCAACACTAGTTCGTTTAAATAACAAAAAGTTTAAAAGAAATAAAATGGCACAATTACAGACTAGAATATAATTAACAACCCAAATATTATCTATTTGAAGATTATATCTTTTTCCCCAGTTTCTTTTAAAATACCATCTATTTTATAAAGAACTAAAATGTTCTGAAAAGCTACAAATTGCTCTTAGTTTAACGTCTGTTTAAGCTCAGTGTTACCCTAGATCAAGCCATACTAGTTTAGCTTTCATGCAGGAAACTGTGTAGTGAAATAAGTAATAAGAAAACAACCAGCAAGATATTTAAAATAGCTATCTTTATAGAAACGCAACAAATTTATTACATACAGACTACATTTAAATGCACATATGTAAAGATGTGGGTGAAGAAAATGCTAAGCTGCATTCAGTATAGCACTGAGCAGCCTACACGGTAAGTCTTAACTACTCAGTGCACACACATGCTTACAAGGTAGTTGCACATCCAACTCATTGTAGTCCTCTTGGATACACCTTTGCACATCCCATTGAACTGGGACACGGAAGGTGGGATTCATCTTGCCTAGTTTTAAACATCTGTGCATCCTCTTAAGTCAGGCCTCTAGGTACCCTCCATAATCACTGGAGAGAAAAAAGCTCCAGAGTGTCTTGGCTTCTGTCTAATTAGATACTATCAATAAGACTGGGAACATTTTTGTGACCAAAGTATTATTTAGGCTCCACACTGGCACTCTGAACAGTGTAAAATCTGTCCTAAAAAAAGCTTATGATGCATGTAACCTGCTAACAAAAAAGTCAGTTAAATCAACATGATTTCTTATAGAGACATTCTTATTGCCTCTTTCACAAAACAGACTCAAGTGGGCAGGAACCGATGGAGGTATTCTTTATTTGGTATAAGATGTTGCAAATTAGAAGGTGTAATACTTTCCCAGGAAACTTTGAGATCTCTCTGACAAACTGATTCACATAGTGAAACATCTGACACTAGGTGAATGAAATTTAGTAGAACAGTAAAGTATGGAAACATGGTAAAGAACTGCAATTTTTGGTCCCGGAAAACAAACTGTTGTTTATAAATAGTCTGATTAGACATGATGAAGGAAACAAAGCACAGATAAACAAAATGCTTGCAATAGCACAATGAAGCTACATAGTCAAGAGTAATGCTTAATGGGCAGAAAATCTATAGATATGTGATAATGACAACCTTGATGAAATGTGTCATTTAAATGTTACTTAACCTCTTTTTGAAGACGTAGGAGTAGTCTGCATGCACAGGTCTTGCACTAATTCCATATGCATAATAACCCAATGCAAGTACAGTGCACTGTATTCTCTCTGCTGAAAATCTTTATGAATGCAGGTGTCCAACATGTTAAAAACCACACCTGTGGCCTCTTCCTTCCAGAGCGAGATAAAGAGAATAGTAAATTATAACCTAAGAATGGTGAGCTTGTTTAGTAACTGCAGGACCTAAGCCCAGGTTTTGGACTGCTCCATGGAGCAGTGGAATGGGCCCAGATTTTCAGACATTCCCTTAGCAGCATTAGTCTACTGTCTTAATACTTCTCAAGCAGTCTTTTCACTGTGTCTTGCCTAAATTAAGGCTTTCCCCACACAAAAGGCCAGCTGTGATTGTATACATCCATTTGAATCTAGTTCCTAAATTACATAAGGGATCAACTATACATTCCTTTGAAATGTTACACTGACTGATAGTAATTTATCTGTGTGTGTAAAACAGAACAATTCCACCCCCCACAGATTCTCTCAGTAGTCCAAAAGACATGAAGTAAGGACTATGATACCAATGTAGAGCTGTTTTCTTTTACTTTAGCACCTGGAGTTGAAGAAAACTAAGGACTGAACCTTAAGCTGAAGGCTGCAAGGTACTCTGGGAAAGAAAAAAAAACAAACCAACTTTCTTGTTGTTTTTACTGTGTTGATATTGCCAATATGCCAGAGGGGAAACATGTCTCAGTTAATTGTTTTTAATTTGCAACCATGGCCTCAATCATCCATTTAAGAAAAGAGACAAGGCATCTTGAGCTGGAACTTCATAAAACCTACATCCTCATTTTTCAAAGTTAATTTTCCTAGCTTGCCTTCATCTTTCTGTTTAATTTACATCATTTACTTTAACATAACCAATTATCTAGGTGTAATAGAACAAGATGTTATGAAAGAGCATATTCAAAACCCTCTGGTAACCATCAAAACACTTTTAAAGAAATTACGTAAAGTGATGTAACACGAAGCATTCTCAGCTCCTCCCATAAAAGTCTCTCTTTCCTATAAGTCTTGGGAGACTAAATTTCACTTTAGCATCAGTTTACTCACAACTTGCTTCTAAATGCCTTCTGTAGCTCTGCTGTAATGACAGAATATTACACACTAAGAATACGAGCAGAAGTTAAATTTTTCTACGTCGTGTTGAATAACTGTTAAGCAAATATAGCTGTCAGAGATGAACATTGTGAAATCTAGTACATTGCACAGGAATTTTCTTCTTGTGTGCTAGAATTTCCTCGTAGTATAATAAAGGGGACTGAGTTTCTGTTTTATATTTCACAAAGTTGCAGAAGGTACCTTTGAGACAGATTCCTTACTTGCATAAATATTCTCCACCTTGAGCTCACTTCTCCTTTATCCACCTCATTGGAATATAAAACGTACTTCTTTCAAATCAACAAAAGCTTACACATTTGGCAGTCCTCAGCTGCAATGTCATTGTCAAAGTTAATCCATTTTTATAAACTACCTTTCTAAGAATAACTATCTGATTGCTTGAAGGGATTGAGGTTAAAAGCAGTTTAAAAAAGTAAAGGCAAATCATTTCCAGTGCAAGCAAAGATGAAGGGCCCACTAATGCTTTCAGGAATTATAAGTCTCCTAAACTGTAAAAGATGTCCTTACAGGAAGAGCAAAGAAATCCACATTTCTGATTGTGCAGTTTTTGCTAATAACAATCTAGCATATCAACTTGTATCATCCTGACTTTGTACATGTGCCCTTGGATTGTCAGTCATATAGAGGACAGAACTAACCTTTATTGTTGGCTTTCTGAAATAATGCTTAAATGAGAAAATTCTGAATAGACTGAAACAAAAAAGGACAAAAAAAAAACAAACAAGAAAACAAAACCAAAACACCAAAACAAAGCAAACTAAACCAAAATCAGACAGACACAGGTAAATTAAGGCAGACGCCCAAAAGGAGCTTAGGAAAAGCAGTTGAAGAATGTATAGTAAAAAGTCTCAGTCCTTCAAAGAGCAAATTTATCACTCTGCCTCTGGCAACACCTTCCCAAAGTTATGATTTATGGGGAAGGGTTGAAAAAGACACCTTAACCAGTCTTGTGTGAAAGCCCCATTATCTCAGTTGCAATGGTGGGCCCAATCTGATGACTTCTTTCCACGCTTGTGACGTCCTAGATTACAGTGAGCAATTCCAGCAACATGTCCCTGTCACCCACCAGTTCCAACTGTCCCAAAGATTCCTGCTGAGAAAATGACATCTCCAGTGTAACAGCGGTGTGAATTTTGGGCCCTATTATGTATGTATGTATGTACTTCTCTGTTCCTCCCTCCTAGCAGCTCGCTCTTGATATCACCGTTTTCTATAAACCCCACCAAGAGTCTCTGGTTTGGGGCTAAAGGCTAGAACTGCCGAACACACACAATAGAAAAGACGTATGCACATGTATATTGGGGTTACAGCACTCTTTCCTGTAATTAAAAAGAAATGAGATCACTTTAAGCAAAAGACTATTCAGTAGAATAACTGTAGACATCAAACAAGAAATGACACAATTTCAGCCAATGGAGATAGCTGCTATACTGACTCCTGTCAATGGCAGAAGAAATAATTCTGCTAAATAATAGAGCTGTGCTGCCATTTGACATGGTTTGAGAAGAATTTTGATCAAACTATATCCTCCTCCAAGTTCTTCAGTTTGTCATGTGTAATTTAGTTTTATAAAGCTGTGTGGACACATACTCCATTTAATATCTGAACTTAAATTAATAGTCAAATATAATTCTATCTGATGACATCACACTGAATGAACGTTTTCTCTGTCCAGTATGAAAATACAAGCATTTAATGAAATATTCAATAAAATACAGTTTCAAAGACTGAGGATCATACTGCTGATTTTATAAAAAGTAATTTGAGATGAGGACCTGAAATAGTTCTTCTGTTCTTCTATAACAATTATCTACCAACCTTTTCCATTTTTAATATCATGTATACAGCATTTTGATTGTCTCTTTCTTTTATGGTCTATAAAAATAGATTGTGAAACTGAGATTATATGCCTGGGCCTGATATGCTAATCCACATAATGTGTCAGTGACTGAGGCAGAGAAAGACCCAAAATACTGCTTTAGGAGCACCAAAGTATTACTAATAGATGTAATTTCTGCTATATGAAGGAAAACAGATACTACACTGGGAAGATTATTTTGACTGACAGATGACATACAGATATGACTGACATACCAGCATAAGTCAGCTTTTAAACAGATTAAAAACTCCTTAGATGCTACGCACAACAGTAGCTCCAAATAGCAGATGAGTGAAGGCAGAATGATAAACAAATGTAATTAGTCCTTTGCAAGACTAAACCAGTTGAACATTATAACAATGTCAATAATCTTTGCTTGGTAGGTCTATTTTTTTCTTAACATGATCTTCATAATACTGTGGGTCAGAGATTTAAATAACCAAGTATGGTATCACTAAGTCTAATGAAGTTTTGATATGCCTGGTCTGAAACTGCTGAATGTTTCATCCCTTAACAATCAAATCTTCTGAATCTATACATTTCTAAGAATGTTTGCAAAATCAGGTATTTAAGCACTAATCATTTATTTGTTTGCTTTTCTTTCAAGAGAATAATCTTCTAAGGAATTGGTTTTGAAATGATATTCCAGGATAATTATGCTTATCTAAATATGGAGCAACATAATTTCCTGCAATGGAATTAATTCATATATATGTTAGTATTAATAGCCAGTATTTTAGTATCTCAAGTCACACCCAGCTACTGCTAAACACCAGTAGAAATACTGGTATGTGTCTGCTTCAGATGATCTTCAGAAAATTAAATATAGGTCACTTACTTTTCGTTGTTTTACAGAATCCAGTTTTATCAACCAATAGGATGCCACTTTTGTTTTGTGATACTTCCAGTTATCCATGATCTGTAGTCATTGCAAAATACAAGATAAAAGAAAAACACATAAAACCAACTGAAATCTGGCATTTCATTCACAAGCTCTGCTAATGCTAAAAAGTGTGAGTATCTAAAAGACCTCTGTGAAAATAATTTTTCCCTAAAAGAAACGGAAAAATATTTGCCAATTTATATGGGCGAACATTTGCACAGATGTGTGCAATCTTTCAGTTTAATCCTACCCTCTTTTCCACCTGATTCGGACATTCATACACTATAAAGCAGGTAAAATCTTTTCTTGAGTGACTCAACTTAGATTCCTTGACCACAGCAATAAGTTCAATAACTGTTAATCTAGTTAATAATCAGGGGGTTTGCTGCATAAAGGACATTAGACTTCCTTTGAAAACATCCTTTCTATAAATGATCATACATTAACTGGAATATGCTGCTTTTATGATGTCTAAGTGATACCAAAATAGCTTGAACTGTGAATATACATTTTTATTTTAATTTTATCTTTCTATTCTATTCCAGACTATGACAAGTTTTGACAACTATTATGCCGTTACCTTTTTCCTTCCATTATGAAATATTATTTCCCATCAGAAACTGGTTGAGACCAGAAGAATTTATAAAAGAATTCTGCAATAATATAGTGTATTTATAACCATGCTAACATTGCATAAGAAAGCACCACTAGATGGAGTGCGTACACACACACTCCCATACGTACAAATACCAACACACTTGTCTGAAGGTGAAAATGTAATGAAGCATTTTATTTCTGTTTCTAGGATGAGAAACTCAATATCCTAGTTATGAATACTATCTTCCAGAATCACCCAAATCAACTATTGCTACAGGAGAATTCCTTTCCACTCTGGTGTAGTTGCACAGATTACTGGAGGCATAATCAACATTTTGAGAGCGTGCAGAGCAAAGGACAGCCCTGGATGAACAATGAATTAGATTAGTTTTAACACACTGTGCTCACTACAGCAGAATACAAGTGTTAATGTAAGTTACTAGATACCTCCATATTTCTACTAGACTGCTCTAAGCGAACCTGCCTTGGCAGGGGGGTTGGACTAGATGATCTCTAGAGGTTCCTGCCAACCCTAACAATTCTGTGATTCTGTGAAAAGAACTTCTATCTTCATTTATTTCTTTTTCCAGCTGATGTTAGTTTCTTTGCACTAGATATTTAAAAAAAAATTTAGGTAACATGTATTTTCTGCTTATATGTCTTCATATTAGATACTACTTTTTAATTGCCCTTTGGATTGGGCATCATTTCATGTGGCTTTGGTATCAAATTATGAGGTTCAGGACAATGCTGGATGTAAGAAAGGGTAACATGGCAGACTAGATGAGCCAAAATGAATGTGACTGGTGACTACCAAAATATGACTACCAAACTTCCAGTATGTCTTGCAGCATGCCATTCCAAGTTCTCTAGTATGTCTATGCAAGAGAAGTTAAACATGTCAAGATCTGTACTAACAATATCAAATGAAATATGAATTGTAACATTCTTCTTAGCTTACTTAAAAGTTTGAACTTTTTCCACAATGAAAACTTGAATTTTCCTAACCTTCCTGATGGTTTCTCATATATTTTATAAAGACATAGGAATGTTTTCAGTGCTGCACTTTTAAGGTCAGAAAGCATACAAAGCTCCAAGATTTTAAAATCTTTTGAACTGTTCTGTTTTGGAAGTTTCAAGGCCACAGAAGCTCATGAATCATAAATTAAGCTTTCTATTTTCCTTCTTTTAGTGGCCTAAACAATAAGTGTCCAGCCTGTTATTCTTTTCTTATTTATAGATACTTACATCTTCTATAATGAATTCTGATTCTTCATCTGTTTTGCCTGGGAACTTCATTCTCATGTCATTGATAATTAGAAGAGTTTCTTTTGTTAAAGCAACTTCTTGCTCTTTCGTTTTCTGTTGCAGTAAAGACTCACTCTAAAAACCAGTATGAAGCAGAGGAAAGAATCAGGCATGTCATTAGATCACATTACAAAGGTGTTTCCTCAACAAAAATAAATTCTAAATAGGGTGACATAAAATATATTAGTAAACTGTATAGACATTATTTAATACATAACTAATATACACACATATGCCTCACGTACATTAATGCATCACCGTTACTTATAGTTGTCAAGAAATTAAAGAAAAACTGTTCAAATATTTGTTGGAAACAGAATAAAGAAATATAGATTCAATATTTATGATGCCCACCTTTTAAAATATGAATTTGAAATGTAGATAGCAGACTTGGAATTTATATTCAGCATAATAAAAAAATTATTAGACATAAAAAGCTTCCTTTCAGTTCTGCATTGCAACAATTTAACAAAAACTGCCAATTATGTGTCACTGTGCCAAGATTTCAGGAAGCATTAAAAAGTAAGGACACTTTGCTCCTACTGTGGTCAGTGGGGGTTCTGACAGTGTCTTTGATTGTCCATGATTCTGTTTAAAATAGCAATGCTTTTGATAGCAACACCAGCTTGAACCCCTACGGTGTCTGAGTAAGACCATCTCTGGAGGGTTTGAGGGTTTTCTTTAAATCTTAGGCTGTAGTTCTGATCCTCTTTCTTTACTTTTGCATTTGCAAGAAAAAGTGGGCTTAATTTTACATTTTTTTAAGCATGAAATTTTTAGGCATTTCTAAATCTTTGTATTTTGTAAGAACCTACAATACTTACTGTGGGATATTTTTGCTTAAGTAGGTGATAAATATTTTCAAGCATAACAAAATATTTTACTATATGATGCAAAATAACGTGGTTGAAATAATAACATAGCAGTTATTTCCAAGTCCACCTTTGTCTATAAGTCTTATAATAACTTGGCTGTAATTCCTAATGGTAAATGGCTTATTCTATGGTTTCCATACTTTTAGAACATTTGGATCTAAGCAGCCTCCAAAAATGGCAATATACTGCTTTTTCTTGCCCAAAAGATATAGAAACTAATACTTTATCACACACAAATTATTTCTTCTTAGTAAGTTACAATTTATCAATTTTAAATTTATTCTAGCAGTAATATATAGTATATTATTCTTAGTTGCAAAAATAATTATTATGAATTCCATTCAGAATACAGTGCTAAATTATGAGTGCTTCCTATCCATTCTGTAAGTAATTTTACTCACATTATTTTAAGAAGCATGACCTAAGCTCTATCACCCAACATACTGTTCTGCATATCAAGATCATTTCCGTGGTGGAGCTTTCCCAGTGAAAAAGAGACTATGGTTTCTTACTAATGTTAATTTAAGTGACTAGCCCATTTTTAATGTCAGATGGTAAGAGACTGTTTTTAATCTTTCAGTAATTTGTATTTGATATAAAGTTAATGTGAATAGAAAAATCTATATTAGCCCTGTCTCATTAAACTCTCAGAGTACATCTTGATGATAAAAGGGTAGTTTTTAAACCTGAGATAGCTAATGTGATAAAAAATACCTTTAACGCGTTGTGGTGAAGACACATTCCTAATGTCTTTCCAATTCTATTAGCTGACTTTAAAGATGGAAAACCATGTTAAGGAGTATTTCACAAGATGTCAGCACACAATTTTAAAAGGATCTTTTTTCATCATTTAGACAAAATCTCACAGGCAAAACAGACAATGAGCGTTCTACCAGATAGAAATGATGATTAGAGACAATAAACACTAGGATGCAAGTCAATTAGCATTACAAAAGGATTTCTCACAACCAAAGCTCACCACACTAGAGAAAGGCTGTGAATATGGGTTACAAGTCCCAATTTGTTTTCCGCATCTCCAGGTGAATTATTTGGGTGATGAAATATATAGGTCAGGCACCACAGCATGAATGGAAATACACTGGCACCAGCACACAGTACAGTATTGAACGAGACTGTGGACTGATCCCAGCAAACACTACCTAGGGATAAGTGGATATGTGGTCCATCATGCAAACACAAAAGAAGAAATGCCTGGGCTGTGAAGGAGATACCAAAGGGGATGACAGTCTGGTCACAAAAGGAAAAACAATGTATGATTTGGAAGTACATTGTGAAATTACAATGAGCCATACAAATTCTAAGCAGCTAAAAGTGTTTAATCTGATTTATTAATTGTATTAATTATTTAGTTTGACTACCTGGGTCTAAATGTTTGTCTGTCTTAGGGACAGGCTTCAAAATGAAAGAAGTTTTATCTTCACTTAAAAAACAAAGATGGCTTCTAAGACAGTTATTGCAGTGGTAAATCCTAAAGATAACAAGGACTACCTACAAATTCAAAAATGTTCACTCTGGAAGTAGAGCTGTACTCCAGTGGTATACTGTATGCAAAATAGATACAGTTGGTTGAAAATTAATTACACCTTCTTCTCCAATGGACACTCATATGAAGTTTTACTAATGTCTTATTCTGGTACAGTGTATTTAGCCTTGTAGTATACACTGGTTTTGAATTTTGATGACAACAATATTGATGTATTGTTATTATTGTCAAGATTTTGAAGGCAGGTACATCCTTATTTCAGAACCAACAGTCCTCAAACAAACCAGAGGAACTTTTTAAGGGAGGTAAAAACTTTCTGTATTCAAAAAATTGTTCTCAAAAACTGTAACATCTCTATTGCAACACCAGAAACTGAAACATCACATCTAGCACTCACTGTAAGTTGTATCATAGAATCATAGAACGGTTAGGGTTGGAAAGGACCTTAAGATCATCAAGTTCCAACACCCCTGCCATGGGCAGGGACACCTCACACTAAACCATGCCACCCAAGGCTCCGTCCAACCTGGCCTTGAACACAGCCAGGGATGGAGCATTCACAGCCTCCCTGGGCAACCCATTCCAGTGCTTCACCACCCTAACAGGAAAGAATTTCCTTCTTATATCCAACCTAAACTTCCCCTGTTTAAGTTTTAACCCGTTACCCCTTGTCCTGTCACTACAGTCCCTAATGAAGAGTCCCTCCCCAGCATCCCTATAGACCCCCTTCAGATACTGGAAAGCTGCTATGACGTCTCCATGCAGCCTTCTCTTCTCCAGGCTGAACAGCCTCAACGTCCTCAGCCTGTCTTCATACAGGAGGTGCTCCAGTCCCCTGATCATCCTCGTGGCCCTCCTCTGGACTTGTTTCAACAGTTGCATGTCCTTTTTATGGACACCAGAACTGCACACAATACTCCAAGTGAGGTCTCACGAGAACAGAGTAGAGGGGCAGGATCACCTCCTTTGACCTGCTGGTCATGCTCCTTTTGATGCAGCCCAGGATACGGTTGGCTTTCTGGGCTGCAAGCACACACCGCTGGCTCATATTAAGTTTCTCATTGACAAACACCCCCAAGTCCTTCTCTGCAGGGCTGCTTTGAATCTCTTCTCTGTCCAACCTGTACCTGTGCCAATATGTAGGTCTAGAGATCTTATATTCCTGGGTTTCTGTCAAAATACCTTTGGCTATAGTACCTCAAGTTTTCTAACACTGTAAGATTAGTAAGGTATTTATTGCATTTTACAGCAATAGAACTCATTTTGAATGGAACTGCTGTTAACTCACCCCTGAGGAGTTCATCGTTCCCACGCTGGATGTCTGAGAGACCCTGGCTGAAGTAGGGCTACGACTTAAGGAATGAGACCTATTCACTGAAGATGCACGCTGCATTTGCAGAGATGTTTTGGCTGAAAAGGGACGTTGCTCAGCTGCCTGTGACTGCATAGTCAATATCGATATTGAACGAGGGCAACTTACAGAACGTCTTATTGGACCTGCGGATGATGTGGTGGATGAACTTGATGGAGATTTTGTATTTTTAATTGAAGGTTTCCAGTTTGTTCTACCTGCAGACAAATTAAATGAATGATGTAATTATTTCTTACTCTCTTAACACCCATTTTTCACTCTTTGTAACTATCAGCATGTATGACCAACAGATGTGCACATATGTGGTACTATACTGTATGTTAACTAACTATATCTGTAACAGTCAGTGGTGTCAGATTCCCTAATAATATATTCTTTACATACTCTATAAGATCATTTATTTCTTCCTCATAGTCAGCTTTAATCAGGTAGACTCCAATCCTCCATAACACCTACCAGATGCTCTATAGGTCAAGAAGTATACGGCTACTGTGTGTGGCTTCCTGACTGTAAGAGTACAGAAGCATGAGATAAAATTTGATTGATGAACCCCGTATTTGCAGATCCAGCTCCTGCAGAGCTGTTGTCTTCTGCTAAATAAAGGATGCTGCTATGAAAAATAAAATTTTAAAAGCAGCATTATATGTGTGTAATAACATGATTCTTTGAGACAATACAATGCTAAAACAAAAAGATAACATGCTGCATCTACCATGTTCAACAGAACTTGCTCACACTAATGCTTTGCAGCAAGAAAACAATTACAAAAAAAAACCTGCAGGGATCTCATCTGGAATAAATTACTTTCTATATGTCTCCAGATAAATTTCTTTATCCTTTCTATATTCCAGTGAATTCAAGCTTAATAAGACTATCTTTCACAGAGAAAAGAAAAAAAAAAAAAATCATTCACACCATTTCCAAGTGCAGCCCAGCTGTATCTTTCTCTCTTTAGCATTCCTGGCATCTTTAGCATTCCTGGCAAAAGAATATTTATTTTGTCTGTTTTTTCTTTTTTTTTTTTTTTAAATTTTTATTTATTTTCATTCATTTAGAAAATATTTTAGAGATGACAAAACAAGGAAAGCAGTGTTAAACTGGTTACAAATGTTGATACATTCTACAATTCTGAAGCATTTCATATAAATCATTGTAAATGCCAGGCTTACTTGGAAAAGTGATCATTTAACTCACCTGATCGTTCCAAAGATTTGCATTTATTTTCTTCAAGATCATATGAAACCTTTTTCTCTTTTTTTTCATTGTGATCTTCCTTTTGATCTTCCTTTTCAGTTTCTTCTGCCGATTCTGAAATACTGCTACTGCTATCGCAAGTACTATCACTATTGTAGTACTTAAGTTTCCTTAAGGGCTGTGCACTTTCTGGCATTGAATACAGGGGCTAAAGAAAAAAAAATAGAAAAAGAAAGAAAAAACACCCAAGAAATAAATTTTTTTCAGAATCCCAAAAGGATGCCTTAGTATCACACTAGATCCCTCATTCAGGCAGGTTCATTTGTACATATTTAAAATTAGTTGGGAAGTTTGTCCGTAATTTTAGAAAAAGCTCTTAAATATTCACTACAGAGGAATCCTTATCTTTCTTACACGAACAGCAGCATAACATAGTAAAGGAAAAAGAAATGTTCTATTTCAAGTATCACACTACCAGACACATTGAATCATAAATCAAGCGATACAGAATACATTTACAATCAGTTTCAATCCCTCACTGGTATTTGCAATAACTGAAGCTATAGCTTAGCAGTGATCAATGTGAAGTAAAGAAATACATCGGGGAACTCTGGCAGGCATATATCTGAAAGAGAAAGTGATTAATCCACGTCCTGCAGAAAGGAGAAACTGTAAGAATATAGCAGGCTACACTAGGTGGGTTTGGTGTCCCATACGCACATGGGATTCAGTGTCACTGGGTAATTAATCTTGTGCTATTACCAATACTGACACAAAAATCAAAACATAGGAGACAGAGAAACTGATGGAAGAACACAAACTACAAATGAAAATATTTCTTTTTCCACCTACCATCAGGCAGACAAAAAAAAAAAATGCCGTATCCTCCATTATATTTACTATCCTAAGAAAACTTATGTGGTCACTTTTTTTCTGTACACATTTTCTTTCCAGTAATTTTCTCTCAGTCACAGTAACCTATGGTATGGCCTCATCTTCATAGTCATCTAACGGACTCCAATTAAAACTCAGATTTAAAGAAAACTATAATTTCTGAACATATTTTGGGTCAGAGTGAAACAGAAGAACCCTCAGGGTGAATTTAAATTGCCCTATTATCTTAGCATAATATAATGCACCAAGATTTATTGTGAAGGGCAACAGAAAAAAGCCCCAAGATATCCTGCAAGATACACTCTATAAGTGAACATATTCTACCTAAACTTCTGCTCCAGCCAACGAAGGAAAGAGATTTCTGCCATTAACTTAAAATCAACACTATGTTTATTCAAGTCGAAGCTGCTAGACCAGATAAGAAAGAGCTGAAGAGGAATATTCCATTGAGAAGAGCCCTGGAAGTTGTTCAGGAACACAGGGAATATGTTGGTATCTACTTGCCAAAAGGAGAAATTAAGGTGCCTCAACACCTACTGCTTTCTCAGAAATCCTAACCCTATCAGTCCTAATCCCGATATGCTGTGTATCACAGAGATATATTGATTAAGCATTCCTGATGATTTATTCAAGGTATAATAAACATTTTCAATGAAAACTCACAGAGGCTTTAAAGTAGATCTCACTCTCACTTGTCATATACATGTTCCTCACACATTCTACACTAAACAGTAAGAACATCCTGGCCAAGACTTCACATCAATTAACTTCTTTGTTAATTATTCTTTGAATAAAAAGAAAGGTCAAAGAAATTACAAAAAGCAATAATGATAAATAGTAGCTAGATCTGGGTTTAAACTGTCCTCTTAAAATAAGAGATACTCGATTGTGTGGCAATTGTAATCACCTTGATTTTCCCCTGATGCTAACCTGATTTTTCTTTGATTAAACTCATCTCATTTTATACCAGAATAATAAAAATAAGAGTAATTGCTCATTTCCTCTAAAATATGTTATTTTATTTCCTTAGTTCTTTTTCCTGCACAAACAGGTGCAATGAAATAAACATGACTAAACCTTGCAGTGTGTAAGTGTAAGGTGCCCTCTAGAGGCTAGAAACAAACCAGACATTTTCAGAAGGCATTTGTCATTCTAAGTAGAATTTAGTAATATTTTAATAGCAATCAAAAACGCCTTCATTCTGTGAAATGTTTATCTTTTTTCCTATTCTGAGCTCCTAATTACATTCAAATAAAAATAAGGTTGAAATTCCTAGCAAATATGGAATAGCTATTACATGCAAAGCTTATGCCTGTAGCCTTCATATACAGATACACTTATCACAGTATCACAGTATGTTAGAGATTGGAAGGAGCAGGAACACCTAGATAATGTTACACAGGAATGTGTCCAGGCGGGTTTTGAATGTCTCCAGGGAAGGAGACTCCACAACCTCCCTGGGCAGCCTGTCCAGTGTTCCGTCACCCTCACTGAGAAGAAGTTTTTCTCAAGTTTAAGTGGAACCTCTTGTGTTCCAGTTTGGACCCATTACCCCTTGTCCTATCATTGTTTGCCACTGAGTAGAGCCTGGCTCCATCCTCGTGACACTCCCCCTTTATATATTTATATACACTAATAAGGTCACCCCTCAGTCTCCTCTTCTCCAAACTATAAAGACCCAGCTCCCTCAGTCTTTCCTCATAAGGGAGATGCTCCACTCCCTTAATCATCTTTGTTGCCCTGCGCTGGACTCTCTCCAGCAGCTCCCTGTCCTTGAACTGAGGGGCCCAGAACTGGACACAATATTCCAGATGCGGTCTCACCAGGGCAGAGTAGAGGGGAAGGAGGACCTCTCTCGACCTACTAACCACCCCCCTTCTAATACACCCCAGGATGCCATTGGCCTTCTTGGCCACAAGGGCACAGTGTTGGCTCATGGTCATCCTGTCCTGCACTAGGACCCCCAGGTCCCTCTCCCCTACACTGCTCTCTAACAGGTCATTCCCCAACCTATACTGGAACCTGGGGTTGTTCCTGCCCAGATGCAGGACTCTACACTTTCCCTTCTGGCGTGTCAGCCACTCCTCCCAGCTTAGTGTCATCAGCAAACTTGCTGATAGTACACTCAATTCCCTCATCTAAATCATTGATGAATATATTAAATAATACCGGTCCCAGTACTGACCCTTGAGGCACTCCACTAGTTACAGGCCTCCAACTAGACTCAGCCCCATAGACTACAACTCTCTGGCTTCTCTCCTTCAGCCAGTTCGCAGTCCACCTCACTACCTGATCATCCAGTCCACACTTCCTCAATTTAGCTGTGAGGATGCTGGGGAAGACTGTGTCAAATGCTTTGCTGAAGTCAAGGTAGACCACATCCACCGCTCTGCCATCATCCATCCACCGTGTTATTTCCTCATACTTATGTACGTATGTATAAATGCCTATGTGTGTATATATATGTTTCTATGTATGGAGGGGGATGGGAAGGAAAATGCTTTTCTCCCCTGACTATTCCAGCTGTTCTGTATAGTTTTCTGAGTCCTGACTGATCTTTTTTCCAAGGAAGAGAGTGTGCCCAAGGCAGAGCATCTGCCAGTAGCTTCTGTCAGCAGGCCAGCCAGTGACTTTTAATGGAGGAGAGAACTCCATGACCTGTCGAAAGAATCTTTCATATTGGGTAACATAACATCAAATGTACTGTTCCTCAGGTTTGTTTTGTCAATTAGATCTTGCATATGTTACTTCTTTGCTACGCTAATGGATCTTTATTTGTGGGATTTTATAGCTACAAGAAGGTGAGTTTTACAGTTGGATTATTCTCTTACCTGATAGATGACTGGGCAAAAGTAAATTCTACTGCCTACCTCACTCACCAGATTTCTATACAGATATATGTTTAGATACTACATATCTCATAGCAGATCCTTCACAAAAAGGTGGCCAATTAAATGCATATTATTAGCCATATGCACCTTGCCCCTTACAGGAAAAAGGTGATGCTCTTTTGGTCAAAATACAAGGACCATCCGCAGTGGTCATCTGTATTTCAAAGGGAGTGCATTGGATATTATGCAACCTGGGAAGTCTCAAGTCACATGGCTTCAGTGTAGGCATGGTTTAAATGATTGAGAAGTGTACCAGGACCCTGAAAAACATGCAGTAATAGAGATCCTGCATGAAGCGTGCATACAGCAAGGAAAAGAATCCCTGAAGAATGTAGATTGAGTTTGTTGCTGGGTGGACTTCTTTTTTCCTCTCTTCTTTAAATGAATCTACCACTGTTAAAACACTAGCTCACAAAAATCCCCATATTTGTAATGAGGTTCCTGCAAATCTATCTTAATACTAGACTGGTTACGCAGATCCTCTTTCCAGTATGCATGCCTGCAATAAGACTTAGCTCTTTGGATTCTTGCACATACCTAAAGTACCCCTGCAAGCTCAGGACAATTGTCTACATTCATTTTGCACAGAAATTCCCAGATTTGTACACCATGTCATCAGAAACATAAAATGTTGCAAAAAAAATTTACACACATCTATAAACAAATCCATCAGTACTTAGGAACATAAATGTAGGCTCTTCTAAGCAGACTTGACCTAAAACGTTTACAAACGTATAAGAAACATTTTAGCCAAGCCCAAACTATTTATCTTTACTGGCTTAGAGAGATATGCAGTGTACTTAAGGCAAAGACTTGCATGAACTATGCACACAACCAGAAAGCATTAAGCTAAAAATAATACACATTCACTTTAAAAGCAGATTTTGGATGCAAAACTGGCTCCAAGATATACCATGAAAGAATTTTAGCAAGTAAGCCAGCTACAAATACGTAATAATCATAAGCAATCCTTAGAGGTTCCATAACGCATGTTAGCCCATGATCTCAAAATTCCTAATTTTGGCACTAATTGTTTGGAGATGAAAGCATTCTTTCGGGATAGGCTATGGATATAGAAAGTATTTCATACACTCAAATCAAGCAATCTCTTGTACAACAATTGTTGCCATGTACCATAATTCCTCAAAATTATTTAGACAAGAAAAGAAGGATCTCATGTCCAGTTAAAATTTTAATATTTAGTTGGACAAATGGTAGTTATGTTTCTCATCATACTTTAAAAAAACAAAAAGGCTAATGGCAGTCTGAGGAAGAAAACTTCCACCAGGGTCAGCTAATTATATTCCCCACTTCAAATTGTCAGACTACCCCTCTACAGAGTGAAATGAAAAAACTGGTATCTAAAAATCAGTTACCTTAGGTCCTCGCTGCCTGGTGCATTTTTCCATTAGCTTTTCATCATCTATTTCACACTGCTCCAGAAGATCCAAAATGTCCTCCTCCTAGAAACAGGAATTTCAACACAATTAATTCAAAGTAGGACATATCCTATCCTGTCAAAATTCAAGCACCAGGTGGTAGGAATTTGAAATTACTTTGATTACTAATTCCTGAAAGAAGACTACGCATCCCTCCACAGGAGGATATAAAAGTATTTCTTATAATGCATGCATCTCTGCTTACAATTAACACGAAAGTTAAAATCAAGTCTCTACATCTATTAATGATAAAAGTCTGAAGGAATGGTTGAACAAAGATTCCTGTAAACCTGCTGGTGATGCCAACTACAAAGATGGGAAATTATTTCTCAGATTTCAAATTAAATCACACTATTTTGTTATTTTAAAAAGTTATTTTCCTATGCTATCGCACAGAGGTTTTGGATGTCTTAAACTAGTGGAGCTGGTTTTATGCTATCTCTCAATCCAGTCCATACAGCTGGATGAATGGCCTGGGGACATTACTGGAGGAAGAAGGAGGCAATTACCAGCTCAAAAGCAGTTTCTGCCAACCTCTGGTTTGGCCAGGGGTAAGGCTGAGGAAATGGTAAAGTAGCTTAAAGCCATCTAGCCTGTCTCCAACCTGGGTCCACTGCAGTTCATCCAGATTCAAGGATCTGGCCCCACAAGCTGCACAAAGAATAATAATAAAATGATGGAAACATTATCAAATACTATTTATTATCCATCACACATGATTATCATGAAACTAATCCACAAGGTCACAAAATCACAAGATAAATAACTCCTAGAGCAAATACTTTTTGTGCTGTAGTACCTTCATTCTTTTTAAAGGGTTATTCATTTCCCGTTGAAGAGAAGCTGCTCTCCCAGCAAGAAATGTCTGGAAAGCAGTGGCTAATAAACTCTCATACTTTTCAAGTAATGTCTTGTCATCAGGAGGGTAAATTCGCCTAAAATAGGGGAGAAAAACTGAGTTTAAGATAGAAGCTGAGCTACCTATCACACTAGGAAAAAAAGTAATGCAGTGAATTCAGTCTCTTCTATAATGCATTCGCATCCCATCTGTGATAATTATATAATATCACATCATGAAACATATACTCTGAACATTGCTCTCTAAATCTAATTTTAACTCAGTGAACACAGTCATATTTAAACCAGCAATTAGCCAGTCAAAAAAAAATACCATGGAGGTCATTCCAGAGAGATACCAAAACTCAGTTTTGCAAAGCTCTGAAATTTTAGTGGGTGTGAATGATGCATGCAGGTGTGAATGATTCATGAAATATTAACAAAATATTGCATGTAAAATTCAAAGCCACAAAATAATGTGGATTGGCTGTAAAAGGACATAAAACAGTGAAAATCTGAACAATTACTTTGAATTAATGGGCATGATGTAAAATAAAGATTGAGTATGTGCTGCACTTGAATCATAAATCCTCCAAAATAATGAACAGGAAGAAACAGGTACTAAAGAAAAACAATTTTTCTGGTACACAGATGTACAGGGTAACTCTGATTTTCCATTATATCAGCTATGCTATTACTCTAAATTCACAGGTAAGGAGATTATGACAATATGAGAAGCAAGACTTGGTGATTTATTCATGCTCATCAAGCAACAATGGCTTTGAAGAAAACCACTCCAATCCATGGGTCATGAATGCCTGAAACACAGCCAAAAATTACAAAGGTGGAAGGCTAATTTCTAATGTATTGTAAAGGAATCCATAAGTTAATTCTGCCTGCACTGTGCAAAGCATAGGTACCCTTTATGTATTGAGTGACATTATGTGACTTTTATGATTTTGTAGCCTTTTGTAAACTTTTTACAATATTCTGGAAAGAATAAAAATCCAGGAAAACATCCATCAGCCTCCACAGGCTTTTATTTAATCTATGGATGTCAGTTCAGCAACTGGCTTAGTCAAGTATCAGCCTGCAAGCACAGGTAGCCCACTGATTCCAGCAGCAGTCCTGGGGTAATAAGAAAATCCAAAGCTGTTCTGCCCTTTTACATGTGCATATTCCTCTTTAAATGACCCTTCTCTTTTTCCTAAGGAAAACAAAACGTTTTTGTATTTTTATTGATTTACAGTAACCAAAAAGCTAAATAAAGAGAACATTTGGCTCGTTTTCAGTCAAGAACTGAATAAGAAACCTAAGATGTGATCAGTTGAAAGTTAGACTTTAAAGTTATTGAAAAAGCAAAATGTATTAAAACATCATGTTTCTCTCTCTTGCAGTAAAAGCAGCATGAAAATAACTGCTTCACTGTGGGGCTCTTTTTTGATATACTAGTTTAGCTCCACACAACCATCAAGAAAGGGTGTAATTAAAACTGGGAATGCTACAAAGAAAGACATTTTGTAAGCAAAACCTTAATTCATCAAAAATGAAAATTTCACAGAAAAAAATATTTGTTTAAATGAGAGTTTTACTGGGAGTTATAGAATATTTGTTCCAAAAAGCAGTGATGAAGAATAGCAGTAAAGGCTTTCTAGCTACAGAATAAAAGATGTGAAGTCAGACATCCCATGTCCTGGTTTAATGTTAAAAAGAGTGGGCAAATACTCCCATCATCTCTTCCTAGGTGTACTCCGCTCCCTTTCACCAAATAATCATAGGCCTTGCTTTCACTTCTCATTGAAGCAAATATAAAGAATAACAACAAGAACACCTAACACAAAATTCTTGTTTTCTGGCCAATGCCTATTATAACCAACAAGTTATAATAGCTTCCTTCTGAGCATAGTTTACCAAGGAATTTGAAGATACTTACGTCTAAGCTTATTAAGATACAAAATCAAAGTGCAAAAATATGAATATAGTATCTCTCAAATGCCATTCTATCAAAAATGGTGGAAGCACCAATATATTTTCTGATCTTTTGGCAAGCTCATAGATAACCTGGTATACACATAAATATTTTCTATAAATGCCTACACATAAAAATGCAAAAATTATCTACCACATATACTTGTTTATGTTATTCCTAAAGAATGCCTCAAATACTCAAATACTTCCTACTAACACAGCCAAAAATAATTACCTGTAGTTCCCCATGTGCCTATTTTCATGCTCCTCTTTGGAAATCTGTTTACGTACTTGTGCAAGTCTTTCCTTCTACAAATCAGGAAAATAAGACAATTAAAACAAAGAGCACTTAAGCCACCAGCAAAAAACAACACATCTTTTGCCTTCCTACCAGTTCTTCTTTTCTCCTTTCTAGTGTGTGACGCTGCTTCTCCCAGTCTGAAGAACCTGGCGACAGTTTTTTCATGGAACCTTGACCATACAGTCTTTTTTGAGACTCAGCCTTCTGTTGAGCTAAATTTTTCCTTTTATCACTTGTCCTGAAACACAGATGTTATTCTGTCAACCCAATGCTGCTGCAATGAGATGCACTTTCATCTCACATATATCATCTGTATTTTCCAGTCAGCCATGTTAACTCCATGCCATAAAATTAAAATTGAAACTATCATTAAGAATTTGTTTTCAATACTAACTTTTATGGCTACAATATTTTCACACTTTAAGGTGTTCTTTGATGACTCTGTACTGTGATTTACTGTACAAACATGATTCTATCTATTTTCCTGAGGTGTAGTTTTTTTCCAACATATCCCAACTACAAAGTTTTCCTGTGGGGTAGGGGGTAGGGCTGCTGACTGTATGTGAAACTACTGCCAGCATATTTCTTGTGTGACCACATGCCCATGACTGCACTCCTATCCCCACTTTAAGACCTGTTTGAAAAACCAATTTTTAATAAGTATGAAAATTACTGTTACCATTTATTTTTTGCAAGCACATGAGCAAGAAGAAAAATCAAGTCTGGGTTAATTTCAACAGCAAAACTGCCAGCACAGGAAACATCCCTATTTTGAAAATACCAACGTGGGAGAAAAGGTCTTAATTTTCTCCTAGCCCAGTTCAAATTTCAGACAAGCAAACAAACAAAAAGAAAAAATACCAAATCAAAGCAAAAGAGCGAGCCAGACTGAAGAGGACAAGTTTACCGTATGTTGAGAAGCTTTAATGCATTTAGCAGAACGCCTTTCTTTACATCATAGTCTATTTTTTGATCAGTTCCAAAGCTTGGGGCACGATTAATCTGGAAAAAAAAAAACAACAAGATACAGAAGACTCAGGAATATTCAGGTTCACTGGGGACACATCTATTTTAACAGGCTTTGGAGACACCATTCTTTCAAATACAGCAGAGATTAAGAGAATACATGTTGAGAAGCTCATTTCCATTTCTGTTTTTATTAAAAAATAAGAGCATCGAGTATCACGGGCACTGGAAGCCAGGAGCTGTACCTTTCAGACACCAAGTTATCCAGACTCTTACAAAGAATACCGTTCAAGTACTGGCACTCAGTCTAATCTATTCCTGCTTGCTCCAAGCAGAAAATTTACCATGCAAAGTACTGTTAAACACAGTAACAGGCTATGTGCCATGCTAGGTAGTCCAGCACAGGAAGAGTTAAACTTTCCTAGTCCCCATTCTGAAAGCAACTTCGAATACTTCTCCAAAAAGTAACAACTATATAAGGATATTTATATACATTATATACATGAAGTACATTTAAATAACTCCTCAGATACACCTAGAGATCTAAGTTACTAAATCAGTACATAGTGTGAACACGGAAAATAATAACAGTCTCAGTAACAAAAGGCTTATAAGCCAAGTAAAAGAGATTTAAAATGTGACCATAACTATAAAGGAACAAGGGAAATGCAACTGAGAATCTCTAACACTAAATCACACGCTCAACAGCTAGAGTCCTGACCAACCACCATACAACCACTGCCAAGCTTTGAAGCCCCTGCTTAAGAACTTTATTTTTCAGAAAGCTGTGAGGAGGGATAATGAAGTAGCTCCATCAACATTGCTAGCAACACCTTCCAGGCAGGTAAAAATGTGCATACATGAGGAATGGGTGCTAATGAGAAGCAAGAATCTTGCTTTGATAGTGAATGAGCAAGCAGTACTGGTTACAGAAGGGACAGACACTAAAGAGCTTCAGAAGAGAAAACTAGTACCTTGCGCCCTATGCAAATGAGAAGTGGGATACAGTTAAAGTGTTCAAAGCAGAGGACAATTAAAAAGAAAAATAAAAAAAGCAGCTCATTAAAATTGCATTTTAACACTTTAGATCCATTAGAGTATCTCAGAGCCTTGACAGCTGTGGGGCAGAACTATTTTGGCTGGTGAGTCACCAAATGTCCTATTGCTGAGTCCTAGCTGCCCCATCACTTATGGTGAAATCCAAGGTACCTTTGGCTTTGAGAATCAGCTTGTTTACTGGTTTTGCAGACAGGCTGGCAAAATGAGCAATGAGAGTTGATGTTGAACAAAAAATCATGAAAATTCAGCAGAAATAGAGAAAAGGTGTATACATATTCTTCTTTAGAAGATTCATCCAAATATTTAATTGACCAATCTCCTCAGACTGATCTGCTCATCTGTCACATCACAAGGACTATTTTTTTTTCCTGTACTGTGACAGTACAAATATCTATTGACATCCATTTTCAAAAAGCATGTGAATGTTCCACTTTCAGCTAAACCAGCATGTAAGCAGTAACAGAAATGAGCACAAGGATTAAAACCCAGTTCTCCAGCATTTCATTAGAGAATACTGCTAGCTGGCAAGACTACAGACACACTGCATCTCATTATCAACATGAAATTTAAACAAAACAACTGCATTGATTAAATCCAGCTGATAACTGAAATAAACTGGAAATATTCTGATTCTGAGATTATATTGTCTAATCCAGGAAGGATTTATGAAGTTTTAAAAACATATGCGTGAAGATCCAGTATGAAGCCTTATGCTTCAGTCCAACAAATACTGAAGTACACAAAAAGCTCAGTAGACTGAAAAGAGACATGAAAATCAAGCCCAGACTCCATATTCAGGAGAAATAATAGATGTTGAACAAAATCATATTCTGTACCATGTATTAAACTTCTTTATATTAACATGTTCCAACTGAAAATATCCTTTGAAATGTTTTTGCATGCATTAAAAACAAATGAACAGATAGAAAGATTTTTATTAAACTTCCAACAAATGAATTTCTAATTTTTTATGTACACTGAATCCTTAAAACCAGTGAGACTGCAGTTAGATACAGGGACTTACCTGGAATATGTAAAACGCTGTGTTGGTCTAATATTGAATTCCTAGATATGCATAGACACATGCTCACAAAGCACTGATGCATAAACCTCAGAGCATAGAAAAGTGCACGCTATTGTACCTATATTTGGTTTAGGTATTTCTTAGATTTACAACAATCTGAACTACAACATTGGGCATAAATTCTGCATTACTAAATATTTTATAAATACGTGTTACTTACATGAGCACCAGTGAGAATTAACACTATGAAAAGTGTAAAATAATTTAAATAACAGTTTCTTTCCTACAGGGTAAATTTTGCCAAAAACCTACATCTGGCGCTTCTGAACAAATGAAACTGTACTGACTGTGTCTATTAAGCAGAAAATTAAAGTGGGGTTAGGAAACATATAAGAAGGCATTTGAATTGCTATTATGAAGCAAAATGCTATTATGAGACATAACACAATCACTTGACACTAAGGTTTTTGTCACTTTAATGCAGTCATTTAAGAGGCTGAAAAGCTATGACATTCATAGTTAAAGCTGGAGCATTGCTGTATCACCTGCAGCCTCAATTTTCTGACACTCCATTCATGACTAATGTTTGAAATCCCAATACTACTGTGACCTCAATCCTGAGGAGTAAGCAGAGGCGCAGTAAGAACAGTGATCCAGTTCTGGCCAACTATTGCAAACTTGGCTTGGGGCAGTATGTTTCAGGTAGCAGTAGACACAAGTCCAGTACAAATAAAATCTGAGCAACTGGGTACATCAGAAAGTTAATATATAAAAAGCAGGTGTGAATTTAAGTTCTATATTAACTATGTGTATATGTATAGGTTGCTTTGGATAATTTATCTTAAAAACGTCAAATTTTCTAATCTGTTGCGTACAGCAACACACAGAAAAACTGCTTGATAAATAAATACAATATTCCTCCATACGGACTCCTGGATATAATGTTTCTTACATCTATTATGTTTACAATATCACAGTTTTATCTCCTTACTTTAGCTTCTTTACTTTCTGTGGCTTTCCAATAAATATAAAACTCAATTGTTCACATAAATTTTTACTTCCTCCAACTGAAATCTTCAACTTCTGTTTCATAATTAAAATTTCACTGAAAATTACAGTTTTCACACACAATTAATCAGACTGCTTGTAAGCACAGCAGTTGGGTAACTCAGTGTATTTCAGGATTACATACTTGTAAGTAGAGGACCACATATCTGTAATGCTTAAATTAAGAAGTGTTAAGTTGAAGTACATCCTGTGAGGGCACCCATCAACAGTTAAATCTGCAAATGATTCTGATTTTACAAATATTACACTCCATAAATGTGTAAGATACACCATTTCCATCTTCACCAAGACATGGGACAAACTTCAGCCTGGCATTTCACTTCTTTACCAAACTAGTCAAAGATCATATTCTCACCTGCCATGCTGCAGCCTATTAGCATGGAGTAGAAAAAGAAATTTTTCAATACCTATCATGCATACCTATTGAAAGGACATTTCAAATATAAAGGGAGATCACATGAATTACTTTAAACCTAAAATCAATTGAATAAAAAGTGATACCCTTTCAGTAACAGGAATTTAACCTCTGTTCAATCTGTAGGACAGCATGAATGTTTTGGGAAGGATCTCATTCTTTATCAAAATGATTGAGATTTCTAACAACAGAATTTGAAAGGCAAAAGAAATTTTTAAGCCATAAAAAATCCTGTTATGCAGAATGTTGTTAGTGCCTATCATTGAGCAGATCTTTGATTAGAGACAATCATGAAGCCCATCCTAATTGCTCATTTCTCAACTTCACAAATTGTGCAGTGCTAACCACCTTTTTGTTGGCTTCAGCAGAATGCTGGTTTTCCATGGCCGTTCAAACTAAAACAACTGACTGTTGTAGAAGTGCTTTGTGAAACAGATATGGTTTTTACTGAAGAATACAAGCAAAACAGGTGCTCGTGTTGCAAATCTACAAAGAAAAGTAACTGCTCCCTTTCAAACTTTCAAAAAGCTGCAAAAAAAGGTTTTAAGGAAATGTTAGTAAAATCAATGAACATTTGAAAAAAATCCATCAACATGCAGGTTCAATTACTCAACACCACTGTAAGTGAATGCTGAGTCAGCTCAGCACTGAGAGAGACAAGGTCTGAGTGAATCCAGTTTATTTTGCTGAAGTTTGGTCATTTTCCACCAGGCACATTACTGATTGAAATGCCGACCTTGATCTCAAACAAATAAGATTACATTTATGTAATCTTATGTAAACTTTATGAAAAATAGCATCACAAGAACAATTCAAGTGCCAACAAAATGCGAAGAGATACATCTGAAATGTACTACTTAGAGTATAAATACAAGAAATGCAAATACCATCACCCTATATATTCAGCTGTTTGACATCTACATATAACTACACATGTCGTGGTTTAAACCCAGTCAGGTAACTCGTTCACTCATTCCCCCCCTTCTTTCCCTCCCCCTACTCCCAGAGGGACAGAGAGGAGAATCGAAAAGAATGCAACTCCCATGGGTTGAGATAAGAACAGTTTAGTAACTAAGGTATAACACAAATCACTACTGCTACTACCAATAATAACAATGATAAAGGAAATAACAAGGGAAGACAATACAACACCTCACCACCAGCCAACCGATAACTCGCCCCCCCAGCCCGACCAAGCACTGACCCATACCTCCTCCAACCCTGCAGACTCCCAGCCCTTCCAGGTAACTCTCAGTTACCTCCTGGGCATGACGTGCTGTGGTATGGAATACCTCTTTGGTCAGTTTGGGTCAGGTGTCCTGTCTCTGCTTCCTCCTGGCTTCCCCTCCTCCCTGGCAGAGCATGAGGCTCACAAAGTCCTTGGCCAAACCAAAACATCCTTGTTATCAGCTCTGTTCCCAGGCCGAAAGTCAAAACACTGCACTGCACCAGCTACCAAGAAGGAGAAAAATGACTGCTACTGCTGAACCCAGGACAACATGTAAGGGACTAAATACTGACTAGAACAAAGCGTTGTTTTGTTAAATGTGATCATGGGTGAGAATCTTAGAAGTCTTGGGCAAAAACTTTATGTTAAGAAAATTGCTTTTCCCTTAAAATATCCCTTAAAAGAAAGTACCATCCTTTATTTTTCATGTGGCTATCCCTTGTTTCCAGACAAGATACAAGGTTGCTGACTAATCTGTAGAACAGTACTGTAGTAATCTCAACAATGTACCAGTGATACTGTCACAATAGGTATTCATAATATCTGGTTACCAAAGCACTGTATAAGCATCTGTTGGCTGAGAAACAATTATTTAATGTTCAGTGACCCAAGAACCAGGACATACACAGGACTAGGTTGCGTTAATATAACATTAGCAATTTCAGCAGGAGTGCACATCTTGAATACAGCTGACAAAAACAGGATTGCATGAGGAGCCCCAAAAGTACAAGCAAATAATGACAGCAAAGGCCTTGAAAATCCAGGGACTCTGAGATATACACCAGTCACAGCAGCCAAGTAGTGTTCACTAAAGAAATGCAACCTTGTGAACTAACATTGGGTCTAGGGATAACAAAGCAGAATGGAGGAAATGTAAAACAAGCCAATTACAGTAAAACTTGAAGCAATTTGAAATTGCTGGCCAGTGAATGAACAGTAAGTGTATGGTGGCAGCAAATGAATAAAAATAACCCTAAGTGAAGCTAAGAGCAAAAAGAAAAAAACCTTCACCATTAAGAGTGTGCTCTTCACCAGGACGAACACAAGACACTGAAAACTTGCTATAACCACCTACCCATCATTTTTTTCAGAAGTAGACCTCTCCTGCCCTTGAGACCTTTGGATCTCCAAGGCACAGGGCAAGGTAAATGTTATACATGAGAAAGGAGCAGATAACAGAGAGCTTGTGTATGTGAGTTTTAACTACTTTATTAATAGGAATTAGCAATAATTGGATACATTGGCCTAAGATGTCCAAAGTAATTTTAAGTGGACTGATGAAGTTTTTAATAGATTTTCCTAGTTCATTTACACTAAATAATAAGTTTATGGATCTCTATATAAGGTTTCTCTCACCTACATAAATCACAACAGACCTTGGGTACCCTGCACTTGAAGCAGTTATAAAAAGATCCTTTTCCTCCAGTGATCACAACTGTATAAAATGAAGTTGAAACAAGGCTTAAGTCCATCCAATAATTTTAACTGTATGATTTTCTTATTTACATAAAATAACCTAACTTGTAAATTTTGGTCAGAAAGAGTAAACCTGGATTTTCTGGGAACCAAAGGGAGATCTAGGTGATTGTTGCTACTCAGAAAGGACGGAGACTGCTGGGACTGTACAAATGCTTGCCAGAAACATGTGGTGCCACAAGATGGCAATCACGCATTTCCCACAGCCCTCACTTCTGTAGAAGGTTCCGGAAGTTCAGCAGCATCAAGGAACAGATCTACACTGCATCAAGGCAAAATAAACAAAAGTCACCTCAGGAAAGCAGAGTCATTATAAATGTTGCATTTCTCATAACAGTTTATTAAGGTATCTTTATAAAAGAAAAGCTACATGAGGTATGGAAAAATGAAACTAGATTTACCATCCTAATCCTATTTTGGCAATTTTCCCGTAACACCGGGAATACTCAGGACCTTGTCATTAGTACTTGTCACCACTATTAGAATGAATGATTCACTCTCCTAAGGGGGTTTTGGCAAGAGGGAAATGGTGAAAAGAGATAAGTGTGGAAAGATGGGGAAGAAGCCAGAACAGGATTAAGAAAAACAAACAAGCAAAAAACCCACACCACTATTATAGACAGATATACATATACATGTGTACACAGAGTACACGTGTGTGCGTATATATATATACACTGTATGTTTGATCTTTACTAGACTACATATAGTATGCATACAGTGTGCATACACATATATACTGTATGTTTGCTGTCAAGAGTACTGCAAAACACACAAACAAGCACAGTAAAAAAGAGTGGATGAGTACAGAAACTGAATTACTAAGTTTCAAAGTTTGAAGTTTCTGTTTAATTCAATGTCTAGCAAAATAAGCTGGATCACCAAATTCCTGGATCACCAAAAGCAGGAAAGGAAATAATTAGACTTCTGCATTTAAAAAAATAATAACCAGGTACACGACTTCAAGTCCTGAAGTATTCTACAGCAACCCAAGATACCAGAGGAGCATTTACTACTTCATGGGATCCCTCCCTCTTAAACAAAGAACTGGGACAGTGTGATTCTCTTTTGAGACCCATTATCATAAATGGTGAGTCAAACCTCCTAAAATCTCCATGCTGCTTGTAAACATCCAAGCAGATAGAGGGCTATCCTTCGGAGCAAATTCACTACACAGGTTGACTCACCATCTTTCATAGAAGAGGTCTGCCACTATTTGCTACAAGACTGGATGAAATGCATTCACAGGCTAATTTCAGTCTGTACTTAAACAACTACATACACTTATATGCAAGCTATAGGCAAGCTACAGATGATACTCTGTAAGTGTAGAGCTAAATAGAAGGGATAGTAGGCTTCGCTTGACAGAAACAGAAGATGTCAGAGTAATGAAGACTAAGATCATGTCATGTACTGCTTTTGGCTAGCTTATCAAAGCCACCAAATATGCCTATGCATGGCAATGGTGAAGGAATTTAATCTTTCTAATTAGAATTATACTGAACCAGTGACAGAAGCATGACAAAGCAATTATTGAGAGCATTAATGGCCTGAGAACAAGGTTATAATTCAGTAAGTTAATTGTGTACATTTTGCTCATCAGTAGCCAAACAATATTCACAATTTATTGTCAATAGACAGATTTTTAATACATTTTTCATTTTTCCTCCAGCTGTACAACCTCCCAACCAGTTAACATCATGATATGACAATCTGAAAAAAGTTCATCTATGTTATTAATACTGTAATTAAAAAGACACAATAGACAAACCACAAACATTCCTGGTTGAAAATGCATGTGAGCACCATTTCAGCTTAACTGTACCACTAACATATTAGAGAAGAAACATTTCTGCTAGTACATTCATGACAATTGTTTAACAGCATTTCATGTATACAGAAATTAGTTTCCTCTATGATTTATGTGGGTGCTTTTAAAATGCACAGGAAAGGAAAAGAACATATATGCCCAAAAAAAAGAAAATTAAGACCATACAGTCACAAAAGTTCCCAGAGCCATACTGCAAATCCATACTCGTGAAGGAAATCTATGTAGCACCTGATTGCTATAAACAAGGTCCTTCAGCTACAATAACAACTGGATTAACATCACATTTCTCATTAAACCTTCATAAACATCTGCAATGCCATATTCCTTCAGGAAAACAATTACATTTACCTGAGTCTCCAAAAATCACTGCAAGGCAATGCTTCCATATGGATGCTGCAGAAAAAGCACCATCTATGTACCCAACAACAGTATCTCCTGCAATGCACAGATTTTCTTTGGAAGTTTTCTTACACACACAGATGCAGTTGGGGGTTTCATTAACTCTACTCTTAAAAATTTACATTTGTTTAAAGAGGTTTACCTCTAGGAGCCATGGTTTTAATTTTCTGTCCAGCAGAATATCAAATCCCAGGACTTCAAAGCAGACACTGTCACTTCCTGGTGCTTGCCCTGGCCTGCACATGCGATAAGCATGAAGAACATGTGGCTCTGCAACTATGAGAGTCTTCACTACTAACTCCTGTAGGGATTTATTTCAAAACAATTCATCAGGAGAGAAGACACCAGTGTATATTGAATTCATAATCTTAGAAATTTCATTAAAATATCTACTAAAAAAAATACTTCAAATACCAAATAAATGATCTATAATAAACTATTCCTCTGGAGTACCAGATACATTTTTTATATAGCCCTAGAGTAGTTTTTATTATAGTTTTATTATAGTTTTTATAGTACATACATACTTTTAGATATGTAATAAATTCTAAAAGCATATTGGGAACAAAGTATAGTATAGTATACTCAATCTTTACCCATTTCATTTTGCAATATAATTTTCAATAAATATTCTCAGAATTATACATACAGATAGTGCCTAGACTCTAACAATCTCAAACCTATTACTCATGTAAAGACACTTGTAACATAACCACTGACTTCAGTAGTGCAGGTTCAAGTCCACAGATCTATGCAATGCTGGCTACAATTTTGTAAATATTCACACATAAAATTCACTTCACAGAGAAACCTCCAAGAATTTAAATGGGATCATTCCTTTGATTTATATTACTTATGTGAATAATTGTTTGAAAGGGCTTTTGTCCCTCAGAAAAAGTTCAACATCATTGAATTTATAATCACTCTCTGAATTTAGTCTTTTAAAAAAAGACAATCATCATTTACAGCAGTACAATTCTTTGTGGTATGCCTCGCTGAGAATTTGGATTAACTTTCCAAAATCACACTGGATTCCAGAAGCAATTCATTTTCTAATACACACAATAAAGAAAAGGCATATTAGTTTTATCTTACTGAAATATCATCCCAGAACTTGGAGACATCAAGGTTATTTGTTTGTAGAAACTCAGTAAACCATTTTATGGAGCGTTTGCTTCCTTTGTCTTCTGTTTCATCCCGTTCAAAGTGTTCATTATGTTTATTGACAGAGTAGTTAGTCAGATGCATATACAACTGACTCTGAAAAAAGGAGAAAAGACATTAAAAAAACCTCAAACCCCAAACACTTAAACACACCTCTAAAATGGTCAATTTTCAAAATAATGAAAAGAAAAATACATTAAAGCAATAATGACATAGTTCATATTTGCAAATACACTATGCGCAGACTTAGTGTTTCTGATTCTTGGAGATTTCACCCACTGAATGTTCCAGCCTTATAACAAAATCTGTTCTCCTATTTAAGCCAGTTGTAGTCAACTGATCTACTGCTCAACATCTGGTTAGGTATATATAATACGTCTGCTGTTTTTACACGTCTGTATGTAAACAACTACCCCAAAAAAGAGAAGAGATTATCATAACTTACAGAATTATTACATTCCCCAAGAAGCAAACAATAAAGATGGTATTTTTAAGTGGTACTTTAAAAGTGCTAAAAGCAGTCTGGCATCTGTTTCATAGACAATCCCACATTTCAGTTTTCGCTGTAGCTTATTTATGAGAAATGTTCTCATGATTGTGGTACTTTAAAAATCTTTTACGTATAAATTCATCTGCCATGTTGATACCTGCCAAAATTGCTCATTTTTGAGTGGCTGATGGCCATACATCAAATAATTTCAAAATATACATTACATAAGTGAGTGCTATAGTTCCTTTATGAAGCAAAATGTCACCAACAATAGAGTTGTGCTATCAGTTGCATGGAAAAACAATAACTACCTTTCCACAACAAATTTATGAATCATAATTTATATATATATTTATATGCTTACATTATCCTACAATACAGATTACTGTACGGATCAATTCAGCTTTCCACTCACACTACCATGATTACTGTCCTCATCACAGTGAGTTCTCTGTCATCTGTCATCCCTTACTTGAGTGTAGTTGATATTCTAAGCTGACCATAAGACTTCTGTTCCAATTCCTTTTTGATAAGACAGGTAATAGATAACACAAGCCTTCTGCTGTCATCTCACTGCACTCACTCATGTTTAAAACACTTTAATGACACTAACAAAACCAATCAATTTAATTGCAGGTTAATTAGCAATATATTGCATTAGCACTATAAGTAATTAATTTCTCCCATGGCTTCCAATTACTGCTTTGAGAATCATTCTGAAAACTATTGGTTTTGAGTTGTTATAACTGTCTTCTTTCCATGAGTTTCAAATAATTTCAGACAAAACAATTACTTTTCAGACTACAAAACATGAAAGTGTTTTGTTCAACATCTGAACTAATCTTTAATCTGAAGTTATCTGGTACAATGTCACTGTGGAACAATGTCATCTGAAGAACAGTGTCATTAGTGATGTAGCCAGGTTATTCCATACAATAGACAAACGGCAACATGAACAGTTGTGAGAACACAGAAATAACTGCCTGTTCTGTGCATCCACTCAGAGCAGATTTCAGTGCTGCTAATGCTGAGATCAGTAATGCCAGAATAATATTAAAAGCAAATTATTCCAAATATAATATTGGAACCCTTCCAAATAGACCACTTGTACCAGGATCCAAATTTACCTGCATTCTTCAAAGGTGCTCTACGAGACAGTCACAATGTTAAGTGACAAGCAGGGAGAAGGCTCTCATGTTGTCTACTGCATAATTACACTGAAGCAGCTCTAAAGTATATGGCACTGAAAAGGAATGATACAGTAGCACCAAGTACAGATTGAGGTATAAAACCGAAATCTACTGATGCCTCCCAGTGCTTCAGATCTATTTCTTTCTTAAAAGACACCTGAGTGTCTGGCTGTGCCAGAAGAGAGGAGTTACACCTCTCAGCAGGAGGGGAGATGCTATACATTGAAGAAGAGGATTAAAGTGTTCAAAAACTTTAGCATGTCCCTTACCATTTCTTTCTGCAAGTTTACAGTCAACCTAAAGTTGCTAAGTACATACTCCTTTCCCTGCTGAAGTGGTAACTGACAGACAGTACCAGAAATAGATTCCCTAACATTCAGGGGTTGCAGTGACCACTTTCATGCAGTGGTCTTTCTTATCACTGTTCCTCTGCTTATTGCATATGTTCCTAACACAATGGCTAAAATATTGCAGGATCCTCAGCAGAAGCTCCAGACTCCAGGAATGTTAAACAATGATCTAACAGGAGATAAACCTTATCCCCATACCCCACCACGAACTGAGTCTCAGATAAATATAAAAGCAATGTAACCGTTATTTTACCTCCTCCAAACACTACATAGGTAAAGAAATTTTTACATGCACAAGTAATAAATTAGAATGAACTCCAACTTACCAAATTTGAGTCACTGGGGGGATGATACTTTTCTGTGCCCATTCTCACTAGTCCATCATGATATAAAAATACTTTTAATGGATCACAGGAGGTGACAAGAATATACACACGTAAATCAAACTTGTAGCCTTCCATAAGAAATGGCTTGTCAAGATACTCCTGAACAATCAAGTGATCCTGAGCTTGTAGCTTTTCTGCATTTCTTATTAAAGAGATCCTGGTAAAAACGAAAGCTATTTTAAAACCATGGAATTTTAACATTACTCTTCAAAAAGGATTCTCACGGGCACCCAGCCAGGTAGTCAGGCTAAAGTCTACCTGCAGAAAGACATATATATCTGACTTGTAGGGTAGAGAAAAAGTTCTTCCTTTACCTGGTTTTTGGTTTCCTGTCTTTTATTGTCTTCACTGGATGAAAAAAGGCAATGAGCCATTTCAACATAAATTTCTGCTTCCTTTGATTCAACAATTTGTAATAATAGGTTCCCTTTGCACTTACTTACAAATTGTTTGGCAGAATGACCAGTGTCCAGCTTCTGCAATTATTCCCCATGCAGCTCTAAAAACAGGCTTCTAGTCTTTGTCACAACTTCTGCCTGAGGTACAGGTTGCAAAGAACTTTCAGTGCAGCCTGACCTAGTGATGATGTTTGCAAAGCACGACACTGTGAATGGCATAGATTAAGCTCAATATTTCTGTATTCCAGTTTCCTCACATCGGAATGAAAAATTATTTATATACACACTATAAACTGGTAGTCCCTAACTACACAGACTTTAAATAACTGTAATAGCTAATGTTTTTCAGGTACAAATATTAACCCCAATTTCCATAGCTTTGTTGCCTTAATCTTATCCTCTATTATTTATGGTACATTTCAGTGTTCTGGTGCTGAATACACCTAATATACTGAAGCATTTTCCAGGCATTTCTCTGAATTATGCTGCTACCTATCCCCTCAGCTTATCTTTACCCTTATCAACAGGACTGAAAAATCCGGAAATGGAAAAGCTTGGGGGGCTTTACTTTTACAGTAATTCTGATATATGTAAGAGCTTTAATATATAATTAATATAATTTTGTATAAGCAAAATTATATCAAAAGCCGTAAAAGCCCAAATAGCAATATCTAAACCCAGGAATAGAGTTGAAAATGAATTTGCAATATTTATCTCATTTTCTTTTTACTGTGCAGCCCTGTCACAGGCAAAACTGTCTCAACTCAACTGCAGGTCGCAGCCTCTTCAGGGGTATCCCTCCTCTGGCACAGGCATCACCACCTTCCATGAGTGCACCTCCAGCCACATTCCCAAAAGCATCTCCTCTGTTTCACCTGCAGCTATGGCTGCCGCTCTTAAATATGTTTGTGCTGCTCTGACTGGATTCAGTTCTGGTATGCAATGGGTCGTTGGGCTGCTCTCATAGCCATGGAAGGTCCTGACTTTCTCTCATATGACACCCCTGGAGGCCCCAGCCCCCAAAATCCTGCCATTTACACCAAATACAATCTCACCCTGTAAGTTTAAGCACAACAGATAAATTTGCAATAAAAATAATCCTGCTTTTAAGAATTATCTGAGCTTCATCAAAAAATGCATTCTCTAATTATCCTATATTCCAAACAGCATTAAAATAACATTTTAATTTAGCTTTATATTTTAGCTGTTTCTGTTTGTTAAGCCTATGCCCAATACATGAGCTTCCATAAAACTTGAAATAAAATCTTCTTACTGATACACAGCTTCTGTTAATGTAAACAGCATTGGATTCCACCTTTAACGGGTAAGAATACTGAAGTTAGCAGGCAACTTACCCATGTCCCATTGCACCATTAGCTGGTTTGACTATGAAAGTTTTCTGTCTACGTTTCTTCTTCAGTTCTTTTACGTAGTTCTGAAACTGTGTGTATTCTGCAGGGAAGATCCATGTTCGAGGAATAAAACTATACTCCTGAGGCTGACTCTTGATCATTCTGCAAAAAAAAAGTCATTGAGTTAAAATCTTTCTGACTACTTTGATGTTTCAATCCTCAGGATTAAAAAGTATTTACAATAATTTGACAAGGAAACTTTGTTAGGAAAATACTGTAATATTAAAGAAAACTTTTGCACCTGTTTAAGAATAGTCAGAGCTCTATAACATATTCATATGCATACAGAAAAAAAAGCAGACTATCCTGTGATTTTTTGCTTATTATCATATTGTACTTGCTTATCATGTTACTGGCATCCATCTCGGTCCTTGGCATCTATCTCACTTCTTGGCATCTATCTCACTCCTGCTATAGTTTCTGTTCAGTTAATCAGATGCTGCTACTCCTATTCTTAAAAGTATCAAACTTACAACAGACCATGTGATTATAGACCTTTCCCTACCTAACAGATTACTGGATTTCCCCCCCCCCCCCCCCCTTTATTTCCCTTGAAGGGACAGGGATATTTGACAAGCATTTTAATTTTCATATTTTATGTTTATATGTTTGGGGATGTATAAGGATCAACACACACAAAAATGAGCACCTGGGATACTTGACATTTCTTCATGGGTGCAAAAAATATTAATAATAAGGACCAAATTTAAAATTAAAATAGAAGCAATTTAGGAAGATTTTGTTTCTTTCTAGTCTTTTGAAGGAATTTGAAAAGCAAGGAATTGTAGTAAATACGCTTTGACACAGGCCAAACAACTGCTCATACACCTCTACTACAGGGCAGAACACACAAGCTTGGATTTTTGTTTGGTATTAGCATATTAAGATTCCCTCAATACCTTATTTAGTCAAAAGAAAGCAAAGAAATGCAAAGCAAGGCAAGAGAGGCCGGGAGGAAGAAGAGCTAAAATAAAAATAAGGTTAAAACATCACAAGGAACAATTCTGAAACTGAATCTGATTAAAAGATGCAGCAAGGTCCTGATCTCCCTGCTTTAACAGTTGTGGTACCTGAGGTAGGGAGCACATCTCATTTTATGGCTATGTTGTCTGTGCAAGAAAGACAACGGAAGAGGAAAAATGGAAAAGAACTCAGTTAGTAGAAGTTTCCATCACCCAAAGCTGTGTATCTGGCAGATGGGAAACATATGATCTTGAAGGTCTTTTCAAACTATGACTCCATGATATATCCACACCAGACTGGCAGTATGTGCTAGATACATATGGGTTAGCTTTAAATAAAGTAGCTTTAACACTGGTTAACAGCCAAGTTACAGGAGCAATGTGGACCTGGTCGTGCTATACAGACACAGTTCGCAGCAGAATAAATTTAGTTTCTGCTGAGCTAAATACTGGTGCAGCTAGCTTGTTTCAAGTACTTGGATTACCTGAAATTTCATGCATAACCTCACATGGAATTAGTTTGTGCAACTCAAAACTACTTTGTAACATAGGGTGGACACATCAGAAAATACAAACATCCGCAGACCAACAGAAGTGACTGGATATTTTAAAATAAATTAACTGAGATAGGAAGTTCCTCAACTTTGACTTTTTTTTTTTAAATGGCACTATGATGAATTTTAATGCTTTTTAATTAATTACAGTATTAGGATAATTTACAGTTAAAAGAGACAGTACCACTTCAATTTTTATTTCTACTTTGAGCCCACATAATATCCCTGATGTACCATAAGTCACTTTTTCTTTAAGTGGCTCAAATACTAATGGAAAAAACAGAGCTGCCAACCGCATCTGTAAGGCCAGGACTGCAGCCAAGCCCTACTGGTATAATAGATACACTGTCACCAAATTGTTTAGTCAACTACACAACAAACACTGCAGAAATCACAATTGCTATAGCAGTCTTGAAGTACTGCATGAGGTTCAGTGCTTCTGCAGCTTCATTGTAACTATTATTTTTACAAATCTGGTTTCTGGGAAGGCACCAAGTATTCAGAGATAGTTTTAAAAAACAGAAATAGTTAATTCATGACTCATGCATATTTTTAAACTACTCTCCATCTGCTATATATTTACAAATATTGTTACCTTGCTAACTGAATTGCTTATCTAGTCAGAAATTATCCTATTTAGGCAAAAATAAATTGTGTCAGTTTCCATTCCTCTTCAAATGATCATATGCATCCTGAAGTGTTACATGATACAGACTTGCCATTTAAATTATTTGCAGGTTTCATTACACATACACCCTATTCAATCAATATACCTTCAAGATATCCTACAAACATTCTTTTGTGGCTGCAAGTACATCAATTCTGTAAGCCTTCTTCTATCTAAACCATGACAGATGCATAACTGGTTAGAGTACAGAGTAAGACAACCATTGTTTACAAGTTCTGGTGCGCACTAAAACTTTCCACAAAAGAATTTAGCTCTGTTCTTTACCTGCTTGGCCCTATTCAGAAATGGCTTAGTAACATCATCAAGTAGCTTGTGGAATCAAGACCTGTTCCAGTACAATAGCCCTATATTCCAGCACATCTGCTATCCACTACTGTGGGTAACCACTTTTTCACTCTGCTGCTCTATCCTTTAGCCTTTGCAGTCCTTACTAGGAGGTCTGAGAATTAAACAGCAAATGATTGTTCTTCTGAGTGCTATTTTAGCTCACAGATATGATCGGACTGTGGTCTTGTTTCTCAGAATGCTTTCTGTCCAAAAGAATCAAAGTTGCCGAACAAAATGTAGGTTACTAAAGACATGACTTCTCAGTCTAGTAACACTGGTTCTGCTGCCTAGGTTTCAAACTCCTCTGACTTTTCAAGTATGAAAGGAGCTTAGTGGGTAGGTATGGATGAGAGCAATTCTTCGTTCATGATCAGTTCACAAACCTTTTAAACATAAACAACAAAGGTGCTGCAAAAAAGACCATCTCATACATGGGTCTATTCTCTTTCCCCTTCATCCTGTACACCTTCTCCCCCACTTTTACTGTGTTATTCTGTAACCAAATTTATCATTCACATGAGAAGATCTCATCTAAGAGACCATTTACAGAAATTAAGATCTAGTTGGCCCTACAATGGCACCTCTGTTCTGATTATTCCCCCTTGAAAATGATGGTCGTGCCCCTTTTGTTCTCAATTACATTCCTGTGTCTACCTTTTCCATTACTCTTTGTCGCTACACTTTCTGTGCTGGCTTGTCTTCTTTCACATTACACTATGTATTACACTGCTTCCTTCTACCCTTGTGCATGTGAAAACCCCCTTGTCCTGTGATCCAGAGCACCTGGATACTGGCTGTAAGAGGAATTCCTTCAATTCCTTCTGAATAGCATTTGCCTCTCAAGAGTCCAGTAGATTTGTTCTTTTACTCCATTCCCAATAGCTTGCATAAAACGAAGGTTAAGATCAGTGTAACAACAGAAGTAGAAGTAAAACAAAAAGGAGTCTACTCTCCACCAATTCACACCAGTTGCTTCATGAATTCTCAATGGTACAAAACCCAGAGCTATTCAGTAGCAGCAACAGAAAACACCGCATGCAGCAGAAAAGTAAGGAAAAAGAACTAGTGTTTCTGCATAATCTTGTTCAAATGAATTTTAAAACAGAACAGCAGCTGTGTGGAAGAAAAACCCTCTACAGACAAGAGCCTGCTTCACCATGTATCCCAACTGACTTGTGATTTCACAAGCAGTCAAGGCATATGATTTTGATTTTTATACATTATGAATACTAAGCATTAAATTGTGAGGCTAGAACTACAAAAAACAGACTGATTAAAACTCTGCTATATCTACTGATACTAAGCGAAGTCACAACATAGATGTCTGACCAGAGTTATTGTATCAGAGAAATTATTCCCATTTTATCTATAATATGTGCAATCTCCATATGAATACCCTTTAAACTGGGGGTACCACTATTACCTACTGACATTAACTGAAGTCACAATATAGACATGTTTGACCCAGAGTTATCGTATCAGAGAAATTATTTCCATTTTATCTATATGCACAATTTCCATGTGAATAGCCTTTGGACCGTGTTTAAAACTCAGAATACAGTAGGTTGAGAGAGGTATAATCAGACAGTATTTGAAAATACTGTGCGCATAGTAACAAGAGCCTTTTGTCCATTTTGCACATTTTTTTAAAAATCACAGAACTGTAACAATACTGAGGGATGCCACTGCCTACCAAACTGACCAATGTTCCATTGTTTCCAAGACCCCTCCAAATCACTGTTTGCCTCTATGTTTTTACCTCTGTGTTTTTACTTAAAGTCTGACAGGGGGAGTGAAAAGTGCTTGTGTAGTGTGTATTGACACAAGGGAGTTCTGGCCCACATGTAGGACTTCTAGACATAGCAATGCACATAATATTTGCCTCATAATAGTTGCATACATTCTACATGTTATGTGCCATATTCACAAAACAGAAAAGGAGGGGGGAGAAGGTAGAGATATGACATTAATGACATTAAAATATGAAAACAAATTCTGTTCTGGTAACAGGAAATGCAGTGTAAGTAATGTCTGGGGCCAAACAATTAACTCTATTAATAATTCTTCTTTAAACTAATTTAGATTAGAAGAACCAAATATTCACACACACTTTACTCTAATCTTTCCTTATTACCAGGCCATTGAATCATTATTTAGTATTGTTTTCTTATGGGTCTTACTCACAGATTCTCAGCTACCACTTATTCCACTAGAGTGAAAAGTTATAATTAGATAAATGAACCTCTCTGACTTATTCCCTATATAAACTGTAAGATGATTCAGGGTTGGGTTTTTTTTAATATATTAATTATTCAATAGTAATCAATTATTTTAATAAAATAATACCCATCCACATACTAGTTATTTTTTCTGTTCTACCATTGCAGGATATACGCCTAGGTGTATTATGTATGAAATGTATTGTACAATAACTTAAGGCTCTCCTACATTCTGTAATGTGTAGACAGAGAACTGAACCCACATAATTTTCCACTGAAGTCAACTGGAGAGATATAGAAGCCCACTCCAATACTATAGATCCAGGACCAAAGCCAAAGTTATCAAGGAACTTGGAAAGTTGTTGTCGGTCCTCTCAAAGCCTCTTAGTAAAAATAAACAAGCCTTAATTGTACTGCATTAAATACTATGACTGAAAAACTTCTTAATATTAAAAGAAAGATTACTTAGTCATGTTTCTTGCCAGAAAATCCTTTCTGCAGATCTCTCCCATTCCTGGAAAATGGTTTATTCTCTGAGGAAGGAGAAGAAAAGAAAGTTTGTTGGTACTTTTTAGTTTTCCTGCCATACCTAATACAATCATTTAAAACACTCAACTGCACACTCAAGCAAACATAATTAGTGTTCCACATAAACTCTTTACAATAATATCTTACATTATGCCACATATTCTTAACAATTGAAAAGATGCTGTAAGTTGTATTCTCTTCCACCAACACAAGTGTGCATTGATTTATTTTCAGACATGAAAGGAGACTATCATACTACCCTTACTCACAAAGCTACCTACAAAGAAAGAATGTTCTCACAAAGTAATGGTAAATAAAGGAATTATTTATTCACAGAAACAGTGGAGAGAACTCTGCTTGTTAACATACTGCTTAAAAGCTTATGAGCAACTTATAAACGTTTTGCATCTTCTTTTAAACTCTGATCATTCACAACACCCAAAGAAAGAACAACCTCAAATATTTAAACACCAGATTCCGGGTGGTATGAACAAATAACTCTGGAAAAGAGAATAGGATTTTAAAATATGTAGTGGTATACCCTTACTGCTAGGTGGTATTTTCTGGCAGGGTGTATTTTTTCCTGTCCATACAAATGTAACTGACCAAAAGTGACACATTTCTGAATGTTTCAGAATGAAGCAGTTTCATAAAACATGTCAGAAATCCTATCTACCATTCTACCTGATAGTTCTGAAGCTCAGCAATCTTTTCTTGTTGCACAGCAGAATCACTCCATATAAGATTAGCTGTTTCATCTTCATCACGTGTTTTCACAAATCCCATTTCTCGTATTACTACACGTACTACGGAGAAATCACATATTTAGGGAATATTTTGAATCTCTAAAATAGATGCATTTTCAAAATTAAAAAAAAATCAATTAAGATTTTAAACACTTCTGATATTTAACCCTTTGTCTGAGAACAATGTTAGCATTCAAACTATTATTTATCTCACAGTACCTCCATCAGTCTACTGCAAACCTGTCAATGACAACATTATAGAGCATCTTGTACTGTGGCTGGAATCAGAGCACAACCACTGATGAGAACTCTAAAGAGCTTCACTGCATTCCCCAATCATCTAGTAAAAGTCCATTTGCCTGGCTTTTTGAGTTAATCTTGGCTATCACGTGTTAATTTCAAAACAGTGATGACTTTAAGTGTCACTGCAGATAGCAGATGAGAATGCCTCTTCAGTAAATGCCTACATCATCTTAACATAAAAAGCAAACAAGCAAGAAAAAAAACTTCCAAACACATACATAATCCATAATTAGAAGGTTTTCTACAGCCTTCTTGATCACTTCAGTTTTTGCATTTCAAAGCTCTTCCCTGAGTAAAAAATGGGGAGCAATAGCTTCAGCGTTCAAAGCTATCAATTCAACGTTACAAAAAAACAACAAAGGTTTCTTATAAAAGAAATTCCTTTGGAAATGTCTGTCAGCTTGATGCAAAGTCCATTAATTCACCGCCATTAGTTAAACAATGGTTATTACTATTCAGAGGAAAACAAAATATGTAGCTTCCTACCAATTTCATATTTTGTGCCAGCAACATTGGCAGTGATGACTCCATTCTTCTTCTTTCTGACTTTTCTTTTAATTGCGCTTTGATAGGGTAGTCCCGAAGTCAAAGCCAGGGGAGCAGTTCTATGGTTATCTGAAAAATAATGTTATAACTGTTAACATCTTTATATCTCAACTAATAATACAAACATTCACTTTGTTACAACTTAGAGGCACAAGCATACTGAATAATTAACAGGCAATATTAAAAATCCAGGACTAGCATACCTCTCTCATTAGGCAAGGATGGCATTATAACCTAGAGCAGCGTAGAAGTAGAACCCAAAATTCTGTCTCAAGTTCTCAGAAAATGATGAAGCTAAAAAAGCTGAATTATATAAAGCTCCGGTCATACCATTTCAGTCTCCAGTAGTAGCAAATATTAGTTCTGGAATGCATAGATATCTGTGTGGGGGAAAAAAAAACAAAAAAATTAGAAACTTTGTTATAGAGAAATCCTAAAAAAATATAAAGAGCTGAAAAGTAACTATGGAAATGCTTTTAATAACAAGTCACAAGGAACATTTCTTTTAAGAGACTGCACTACAATTCAACTGAGCTTCTTCTAAGAAAAATGCTTTTTGTAGTATTAATTTTTAAATGATATTACATTACCTTATTATTTTCATTTGTGTATGGGAGATTTTGGGCATAGAATCAGAATCGTTAGGGTTGGAAAGGACCTTAAGATCATCTAGTTCCAACCCCCCTGAAATGGGCAGGGACACCTTACGCTAAATCATATAACCCAAGGCCTTGTCCAACCTGGTCTTGAACACTGCCAGGGATGGAGCATTCACAACCTCCCTGGGCAACCCATTCCAGTGCCTCACCACCCTAACAGGAAAGAATTTCCTTCTTATATCCAACCTAAACTTCCCCTGTTTAAGTTTTAACCCGTTACCCCTTGTCCTGTCACTACAGTCTCTAATGAAGAGTCCCTCCCCAGCATCACTATAGGCCCCCTTCAGATACTGGAAGGCTGCTATGAGGTCTCCACACAGCCTCCTCTTCTCCAGGCTGAACAGCCCCAACTTCCTCAGCCTGTCTTCATACAGGAGGTGCTCCAGTCCCCTGATCATCCTCGTGGTCCTCCCCTGGACTTGTCCCAACAGTTCCATGTCCTTTTTATGTTGAGGACACCAGAACTGCACACAATACTCCAGGTGAGGTCTCACAAGAGCAGAGCAGAGGGGCAGGATCACCTGCTTCGACCTGCTGGTCATGCTCCTTTTGATGCAGCCCAGGATATGGTTGGCTTTCTGGGCTGCGAGCGCACACTGCTGGCTCATGTTCATTTTCTCATCGACCAGCACCCCCAAGTCCTTTTGGGCAGGGCTGCTCTGAATCTCTTCTCTGCCCAACCTGTAGCTGTGCCTGGGATTGCTCTGACCCAGGTGCAGGACCTTGCACTTGGCATGGTTAAACTACATGAGGTTGCCACCAGCCCACCTCACAAGCGTGTCAAGGTCCCTCTGGATGGCATTCCTTCCCTCCAGCGTATCAACTGAACCACACAGCTTGGTGTCTGTCCTGGGTTCAGCAGTAGCAGTCATTTTTTCTCCTTCTTGGTAGCTGGTGCAGTGCAGTGTTGTGACTTTCAGCTCGGGAACAGAGCTGATAACAAGCGATGTTTTGGTTTGGCCAAGGACTTTGTGAGCCTCATGCTCTGCCAGGGAGGAAGGGAAGCCAGGAGGAAGCAGAGACAGGACACCTGACCCAAACTGACCAAAGAGGTATTCCATACCACAGCACGTCATGCCCAGGATGTAACTGGGAGTTAGCCGGAAGGGCTGGGAGACTGCAGGGTTGGAGGAGGTATCGGTCAGAGCTTGGTCGGGCTGGGGGGGCGAGTTATCGGTCGGCCGGTGGTGAGATGATGTATTCTCTTCCCTTGTTATTTCCTTTATCATTATTATCACTGGTGGTAGCAGTAGTGATTTGTGTTATACCTTAGTTACTAAACTGTTCTTATCTCAACCCGTGGGAGTTGCATTCTTTTCGATTCTCCTCTCCATCCCTCCGAGAGCAGGGGGAGGGCAAGAAGGGGGGGAACTGAGTGAACGAGTTACCTGACTGGGTTTAAACCACGACAGTGTCATCGGCAAATTTACCGAGGGCGCACTCAATCCCACTGTCCATGTCACCAACAAAGATGTTAAACAAGACCAGTCCCAACACCAATCCCTGAGGGATACCACTCATTACTGGTCTCCAGCTGGACATTGAGCCATTGACCACAACTCTTTGTGGGCGGCCATCCAGCCAGTTCTTTATCCACAGAGTGGTCCATCCATCAAATTGATGTTGCTCTGATTTAGAGACAAGGTTGTCATGCGGGACAGTGTCAAATGCTTTGCACAGGTCCAGGTAGATGACATCAACTGCTCTACCCCTGTCCATCAGTTCTGTAGCCCCATCATAGAAGGCCACCAAATTGGTCAGGCAGGATTTTCCCTCAGTGAAGCCATGCTGGCTGTCACCAAGCACCTTGTTGATTTTCATGTGCCTTAGCATGCCTTCCAGGAGAATCTGCTCCAAGATTTTGCCAGGCACAGAGGTGAGACTGACTGGTCTGTAGTTCCCCGGGTCATCCATTTTCCCCTTCTTGAAAATGGGGGTTATATTTCCCTTTTTCCAGTCATCGGGAACTTCACCTGACTGCCATGATTTCTCAAATAGGATGGTCAGCGGCTTCGCAACTTCATTTGCCAGCTCCTTCAGGACCCGCAGATGGATCTCATCAGGACCCATGGACTTGTGCATGTTCAGATTTTTAAGATGGTCTCAAACCAGTTCCTCTCCTACAGTGGGCACAAGGTCTTCATTCTCACAGTCCCTGTGTCTGCCTTCCAAGACTTGCGTGGTGCGGTCAGAGCATTTGCTAGTGAAGACCGATGCAAAGAAGTCATTCAGAACCTCAGCCTTCTCCAAATCCTGTGTAGCCAGTTCTCCTGAGAGCTTCCTGAGGGGGCCTACATTCTCCCTAGTCTGTTTTTTATTTACTAGGTACCTGTAGAATCCCTTCCTGTTATCTTTAATACCTCTAGCTAAGTTTAATTCTAACTGAGCCTTACCTTTCCTAACCTGGTCCCTAGCTTCTCGGACAACATCCCTGTACTCTTCCCAAGCCACCTGTCCTTGCTTCCACTTATTATAAGCCTCTTTTTTTCAATTGAATTTTCCTCAGCAGCTCCTTATCCATCCAAGGAGGTCTCCTGGCCCTCCTGCTGCACTTCCTTCTGGTTGGGATGCAACACTCCTGAGCTTGCAGCAGGTGATCCTTGAATATCAACCAACAGTCTTGGGTCCCCCTGACCTCTAGGGCTGTATCCCATGGAACCTTCCGAAGCAGGTTCCTGAAGAGGCCAAAGTCTGCTCTTTTGAAGTCCAGGGCAGTGAGCTTGCTGCACACTCTTCTCACTGTCCTGAGGATCTCAAGTTCGAGCATCTCGTGATCGTTGCATCCAAGGCTGCACTGGAGCGTCACATTTCCAATGAGCCCTTCCCTGTTGGTGAGCACGAGGTCAAGAATGGCACCTGTCCTTGATGGCTCCTCTATTACTTGCAGGAGGAAGTTGGCTTCCACACAATTGAGGAACCTCCTGGATTGCTTGTGCCGGGCCGTACCATCCTTCCAACAGATGTCAGGGTGGTTGAAGTCACCCATGAGAACAAGGGCCTGCGAGCGTGAGGCTTTTCCTATCTGTCTATGGAGTGCTTCATCTGCAGGTTCTCCTTGATCAGGCGGTCTGTAACAGATCCCCACAGTAATGTCTGCCATAGCTATATTCCCTTTAACCCTGACCCACAAACTCTCTGTTAACTGCTCACCTGTCCCCAGACAGAGTTCCATACTCTCCAGCCTATCCCTAACATAAAGGGCAACTCCCCCTCCCTGCCTGCCAGGTCTGTCTTTCCTAAACAGACTGTAACCTTCCATTCCAACACTCCAGCCATAGGAGCCATCCCACCATGTTTCTGCGATGCCTATTATATCATACCCCCGTAGACGTGCACACACCTCTAATTCCTTATGTTTGTTCCCCATGCTATGGGCATTTGTATAGAGGCATCTGAGCCGAGCTCCAACTGAAGCCGGCTCGTTGGCTGGAGCAGCTGGGATATCTCTACATTTTTCATTTGTATGTTTGTGTGTGTGTACAGACATGTCAGAGACAGATACAATTCTGTTGTAGACAAGCCACCCTCTAAGTCAGAAAATACAAAAGCAGGCACCTTCATCTGCAAGATCTTATCTCCTTTGAAGACAGAAGCTTACCTTTATCAGTCCATTAATACAAAAGGATAAAAAGATATGGTTGTTTATGACTGTCCTTAATGTACAAGGGACCAAATTTGACTTTGTAATGAGACAACCCTAAATATCCCTCATACCCATTTAGTGGAGTGCCACAAATTAAAACTTAACGCTGTGTACTTATCCAGAAGGTAAGAACAGGAGATGTGTTATACACAATGTTCCACACCATGGCAGTAACACCCAGCCATACCTACTTACAACACACTTTGCTGAACCAGAACTAGCTAAGAAAAATGCCCTCAGACTGAACTTCAACTGGCTGGTCATTTTTACATACTAGTGTTTCAGATGCCATCATCTGAGAAGGTGGCCTGAAGTCCCCTTGCACATTGGCCTTCTAAAACACAGAGACGGGAAAGCAAAGCATTTATCCTCCTTAAAACCAATGTGAAGGAAAAGGAGTGCTGGGCACAGTGACTCACTGAATATTGCACATTATCTGCTTCTCAAGCTAAGAATACCACCAGAGTACAAGACATGTTTAGTTCCTGGGAATAATACTGAAATACATCTGTTACCTAATTAAGGACTTCTATGCACATAAATGACTAGCAGCTGTTCCTCCCTTGTACGGGCTAAAAACTTTTTAACAAATTTGGAAGAATATGAAGACAACTAGTATTTCCTTGAGAGAAATGCCATCCCTTTCTAATACAGCATGATTTACAAGCCATGTAATGGCAATAAAAAACAAGCAGCTCAGAGTTTTCATTCAGCTTATACTCACAGAAAAAAATACCTGCCCAAAGCTACCATAATGCATTCTGAAGGTGGACCAAAAAGCTCCAAACTGCACTACATTGTTGTATTACTGTTTTTCTTTACACAGAATCTCTTCTACTTTTTTGAGGAGAACACTCTGTAGGGTTTAAATAGAAAGCACCAATACTCAAGGTCCACGACTTTCAACTAGTCAACTTTTTAGCCCAAATACATTAATTGACGGCAAAGATTTATGGTCACCTTTAGAGTATTATAAGGGCAATTAGTAATTTGGCCATACGAAAAACAAAGTAACTGGACTCTCACGAAAATCTCTGCATACCGTTCATTGAAGTAACTCTTTTCTTGACAAGATTCT